CTTTTCCTATAGGTTTTGCCACAGGCTGCCAAGTCAGGTTTCCAGGAAGAGTCATTCTGAAATGGGGCCCCGTTCATTCTGGAAGTAGGGACCTGTCATGGCCTGCCTTTGAAGCATCTGTAGACTGTGAAGGGGTGATGGGCCAGGAAGACCACGTGGTATCCGAGAGACAACCCCACCCCAGTGGCGGGATATTTCCTGGAGCCTGGTGGACACTTGAGAGGCATGTGTCCCCAAGTTTGGATGAGGTCACCTGACCAGTGCCTTCTGTTTGACTCCCCAGCGCCTGCCCCTGCATCTCCTGCCACTCTGGTCTGTAATTCCACCTTTCGACTGCCCTGCCCTCCCCAAGCCCTCCTTTGAAAATGCAAATCTGGTAATATAGTCTGTCCCTGCACCCAGTGTGAGAATTTTATCAGTTTCCTCCTGACCCCTCTAGGACAGCGCCTGCCCTGCCTCAAGCAGGACCTGGCGGAGGCTAATGGCTCACACAGAACTGCATGTGCTGGCTCCTTCCACCTCACCTACTGCTCTCCTTGCCCCTCCCCGGTCCTGATCGACACCATCAGAGCCCAGAGCTGCTGAGGGGCTTGCCGGTGGAGTCCCTGCCAGGAAAGGTCTTGTGGTGGGCTGCTTGGTTAAAGACCCAGGGATGGAGAGGGACGCAGCTCTCACCCTCTGCCCAGGGACCCCTGAGGCCAGCAGGAGAAGGGTCCCAAGGGAACCCAGCTCTTGGCTGGGAAGGCAGGTCCTACCTCCCCTGTCTGCCTCCCTGCCTCTCTATACATTCCTCCCTATACCTCTACCCTCAAAGCATGTACATATCTCAAAGAGTCAGGTGTCTTTCCAAGGAAGCAGATGAGAGAGGGTCAGGAGAGAGATTGGGTTTTCACATGGAGTCAGAAGTCCTGGACCATGAAATAAATCAGAACTTCACTCACTGGGGCTTTCCCAAGCTGTTGAAAATCCTTACATCGCGGGAGGAGGAACAGACCCTGCTGGGCATCCAGGCTGCCATATCTGTAGCCAGTCGGAGTGACACCTGATCATACCTGCTCAGTCTCTACTTCTACCATATGCCGACCTGTGCCCTGTATGGAGAACCTTGGCCAGAGAGGGATCAGCTCTCCTGAGGATGCAGGACATATACCTGAGCATAGAGGGCACACACCTGGGGCACAGGATGCACACCTGGGAACAGAGGGCACATACCTGGGGAGCAGAGGTCACAACTGAATGCAAGGTACACGCCTGGAAACACAATACACACCTGGGAATACAGGCCACACCCCAGAGAACACTGCTTCAGTGGATTGGCATTTTGACTTTCTGGCATTTTTTTGTCCTGGTGAAACTGGGTGGCGAAGGTGGGAATGGGTATGGAAGGCCACCCTGGGTTCAGGCTCACTGTACCCCCAGAAACATGGGGGCAGGGAAACAGTGGGGAACCACACCCTCCATCAGGGGAGAGAAGCCAGGCAGGTCAGGGGCTGGAGGCTGGCGCTTGGAGGGAGGCCCCTGTGTGCACGCTGCCATTGTTGGTACAGGAGGCCCTCTCTGGACACCTCTCTGTTCCAGGACAACTCTGCTGGAGCCCTCGGCTTCTTTCTAAATTAAATTTATTATTATTATATCATTATGGGACTAGCACATGGATTTATTGGAGCAATTCAAACAGCAGAAGCACGTGACCCCCCTCAGCCCAGCCGCCTGCAGTCTTCCTGGCAGCGCCAACGCGTCTCTGCCTTGTTCCCATCGTCTGTTTTCCTGGAGTCGGGTGCGCGAGTTCTGCTCTTCCACGTCCTGCGTCTCCGCACAACAAACTTGGAAATCTTGGAGATCTTCCTCTACCTGCATGGAGGGTCTAACCCTTTCTGTTATTTTTGTTACAATTTTTTATAAATATTTTATTATGATAATGCATATTCATAGTAAAACAAAGTGGAAACCCAGAACAGAGAACTGTGTTCTGGGTTGTGTGACCGCGTCACCTCTGCAGCTTCAAGGTCACAGACGGAGTTGTTGGCAAGGCCAGTGGGGGCCCTGCTCCCCCCACCTCCCACCTTGGTCCTTACGCCACGGCCCTTCTCTCTGCCATCACCTCGAACATCCCTTGAGAACAGGCTCTAAGTCAAAACCCATCAACACACCCAGAAGCAGCCCAGAAATGGCATTGACAGTAGAGGCCTGCCGCTCGAGGCCGCAGCCCCAGAAGGAAACGTGTAAAGTTGAAGCTGCCCACGACCTGGCGGAGAAAGATCCTGGGCCCGCCGCCCCCAGGGTGGAGTTTAAAGGGCTTCTGCTTCCTGGTCTCCTGTTCGCTTCCTGGACTTTTCCCGGCTTCTATGAGCCTATCAGCCCACTCTTTCCAAAGTTCCCCGCCAGGTTCCCCTTCCAGGGCTGCCTGCGGACTCCGGGCCTCCTGCACCCTCTCCAAGGTTAGCTGAGGACTCCTGCCATGCTGATTGCCATCCACAACCTGCCTGAAAAGTGTGGCAGAGCCACTGAGCCCACCTGTCTGCAGCCATCCTTGGTCCCTTGCCCCTTGGGTCCATGGTGTATAGACGTCTCAGTTGGAAGGGTTTTTCTTCACAGCATTTAAAGCATGGCCCCTTTTCTCCCAGTGCCCAGGGCAGCAGGTGGAGACCAATGCAGCCTGACCGTATTCCCTCTGCTCTTTCCTCTTCCACCTGCTCACCAGCACGGGGGCTTTTCAGTCCCGTGGGATTCAGGGCGGCATTGGTGGCAGACGCTTCAGGCACAGTAGCCCACATGCCACTGCCTTGGTGTATCTCCAACCTCCCCTCATGCGTCCCCTCCAATCCGTCTAAAATGACGCTCACTGCCATCTTACCTGTCTTAATTTCTCCTCAGTGCACCTCTTACTACCTGATGCCATCCCATTTATCTGTTTACTTCTTTATTGCCTGTATCCAGTTGGAAGGTAAAGCTGACTACCACAGAACTTTTTCACATCTTATTCAGTCCTCACTTTTTAATTGACTACAGAGGCTGATGTCCCAGCTTGATGGGGCTTGCTGTTGGTTCTCTGCAGTGCCAGCTCAGCCCCAGACACTGAGCAGGGTGTGGGGGCCTTTGGGGAGGAGCCCTGGCCTCCCCCACCCAGGTCCTTGCTATAAAATAGTGCTTCTAGGAAGTCTGCAAAATACAGAAAAGCACGAGAAGAATGGCCCATCGTCCTGACACCCAGAGACAGCTATGCCTGATGTCACTTGGGCACGTTTTCTTCCCACCATGTGATGTTAATGTTTCCTGGACCATAGAACATGTACTGAGTTGGAAGCATCATAAGAGGTTTCCTTCTTTTTGACGAAGTTGAACAGACATGCACAGTCTCACAGGTCGACTCATGCTTCTAGTAATTTCTTAGCCACTTTTTCTTCCTGGGCGCCAAGGGCTGAGGAGATGCCATGTAAACACACTCAGCTGATCCTGGAAGAAGCTCCTGTTTCAGACAAAGAAATGGTGTCAGCAATAAACCTGGAAGCCATTCTGCTGACACCTGAGTCCTCCTCGCCTTGGTGCCGGATGCCTTGGAGAGATAGCACTCCCTGTCCCGCACCCGTACCTGGCAGGAAGCTGGAAGTGCGATCCAAGTCTCATTCATGCCCAGAGCCAGCTGCGCTCTATCATTGGGTGTCCAGGATTTCCTTCAGAAGCAGGTGTACTTTTTGCACCATCACTGAGAACGGGGACAGGGTGGGACTGTGGCCTGTGAGACCCTGAGGACATTCAGTCCAATGATCGAGGGCATTTGACTTTTACATGTTGGGAATTTGTAGGATCCTGAGTTCAGCAGGGCCACCAGGACCCCGCACAATGCCAGGTCGCCCATCTTCCTCTGTCTGACCGGTGTTGAGAACACAGATGGAAAGAGGATTTTCAGTCCATGGCAGCGTTGTGAGCAAGCTCGCTATTCATGATGCAGACTGTCCCCCCGATTTTGTGTTGTGTGCCAGTGGGTCCTGAGTTCTGTCCCCTCATCAAGCCCCCTGTGGCGTCTGTTCTTAGCGAGGCAGAGACAGAGATGAGCGCCAGGGCTGCGCTGCTCTAGGAAGCTGCTTCTGAGGGACCCCCGGGGATGCTACCCTGGGGTTGGCCACCTCAGGGTCTCGTCCTGGCCACCAGCAGTGACGCAGTCGGGGGCTGCATGGCTGCTCTCCTGTGGGAGGCATTGGCGGTTTGCGCCCCTGAAGCCTGCGGAAGGCAGCAGAGACTGCTGTCCTCTGAGCCCCCCAGGGACCCAGCTCAACTTCGGCAAAGGGCCCCTCACAGAGGCAGAGACTCATGGGCAGGCCGGGGCAGGCTCCCTGAGCTCCCACAGGGGCTCCCTGTGGTGGCTTCCTACCAGTGCATGTGGTCCTCCCACCCTGCCCTGGGGGTGCGGCCGCAGTCGGCCCTCCTTGATCCTGGGCAGACGCCCCAGGGTCTCCCTCTCCCCCTCGCTCCAGGGCAGCAGGCTCAGCCCTGAAGTGAGGGTGGCCGCCGATTCTGCATGCCCCCTGCCCCGAGGATGGCATCACTCCCTGGACCCCTGGAAGAGTGTCTTTTGGGGAGTCACCCAGCAGGTGTGGCCCAGGGAAGAGACCATGAGGAGGGAGTGACAAGGAGATGAGAGGGCCCTGAGCCTCCATGTGGCTGGGCCGGGTACGCCACCCATGGCCCTACCGTTGCAGATGGCTTTGACGGTTTGGGGAGGAGTCCTTAATCTACCAACAGCTGGCAGGGTGCTGGTGCTTGAGGGGCAGTGCCGAGTGCTGTGTCCAGCAGCACGACAAATGCTCACCGTCCTGCTGTGGCCACTTGGGCCAGGGTTCTACACTCCCATGCACAGGGCTCGGCTCTGAGGTGTCCCAGGGGCTTTGCCACGTCCTGGGTGCCTGCCAGACTCCTGTCCTGGGAGCAGGCAGCTGGAGGGGTCTTGGATAGTGGCCCCGCAGAAACAGAATAACCCCCTTCTTCTCTCCTTCCTTCACCAGAATCATGGCCGACAGCAAGGCCAAGTCCGCCAAGACCGCCAACAAGACACCCCCCAAGTCCCCAGGGGACCCTGCAAAGGACAAGGCGGCTAAGAGGCTCTCGCTGGAGTCAGAAGGTGCCAACGAGGGGGCGGCCGCCACGGCCCCAGAGCTCAGTGCCCTGGAGGAGGCCTTCCGGCGGTTCGCGGTGCACGGGGATACCAGGGCCACCGGGAAGGAGATGCATGGCAAGAACTGGTCGAAACTGTGCAAGGACTGCCAGGTGATCGACGGGAAGAACGTGACTGTTACCGACGTGGACATTGTGTTCAGCAAAATCAAGTAAGTGTGCCAGGGCTCTCTTGCCGTGGAGTCAGCTTCCCAGAGGCCTGTTGTCAGCCAGGCCTCACTTGTGGGGTTTGTGTCTTAATGCACTGTGAGGAAGTATGACCCTTCGAGATCCTTTCCCTCCCAGAATCATGTGCCCAGGAATTGGAACCAGAGCAGGCTGCCTGGGGGTGAGCTGGGAGACAGGGAGGGGGATATACTGCCCTGCCGTCGGGAGCTTGGAGGGGTCTTGGCGGCAGAACTCCTGGCCCACTGTGGGCTGAGTGTGAGAGGTGGCACTGTGAAGCTTGTCCCTCAGGTGTGACCCGCATCCCGCCTGCCCCTGCCTGCTGCCCTCCGTGGGGTTCCCCTTTGCTTTGGGGAATGACTTCATAGGAAGAAGACTGTGGGGAACACAGTCAGCACCTGAGTCTTCCCCTGTGACTCAGTGACTTTGAGCAGGGTACTCCTGTGCTCCCTGTGTGCGTGTGCACCCGTGTGCATGCAGGCATCTGTTCCTGTGTACTGTGGACATGTTGTTGCACGTGTGGGCATGAACGTGTGGTGTGCGTGTGCACGGGTTCCTGCGCACATCCTTCCTTCTGCACGCTGGGAGCACGTCCAGGAATGATGACACACACCCCTTCCCATCCCACTGGGCATCTCTGAAGCATGAGGACATCCTCCTGGCCTCCTCAACCCATGACCACAATGAGAAAATTAACCGCGTCCCCCAAGGCCATCAAACGTCCAGCCCTCTCTGTCCAGGTCATGTTCGTTGCTGGGAAATGGCTTTATTTCAGCTCATTTTTGTCCCGTGTCCATTGTGGTCGATGTGACCCTGTAGTTGTAAGTTACTGTGACCTTGCCATTTTTCATCTCAGATGTCCCTGTGCCCCCGTGTTCATGGCCTGGCTCCTCCCTCCCTCAAACCCCCTCCAAGCACAGAGGCAGTGAACGTTTTTTTTTTCCCTTTGCGCCCCTAGAGCCTGTGACCTCACGTTTCCACTTTGCTTGAGGAAACATTATTTGGTGTATCTCCATCACACCGAGGTCTCCCTGACTGTCCGGCCTGTCACACCATCCTGACAGCCATCCGAGGTGGACTGGCAGCCGTCACTGCTCTCCTGGGGTCGGCTCATCCCCACCCAGCAGGAGGTTGCACCGGGTGTCTGGCTGTGACAGGGTGGAGGTGGCCCTGCAAGTGGCCCTCGAGGGCCGATCATCAGGACCTAGTCATGGGGCACAGGAGACAGGCACTCTCCAGGTGGAGGGGACTCAGCCTTTCCAGCCTCACCTGAAGAAGTGGCACCACGTCGATTTACTGCGATCAGGCCAGAGCCCCAGTGACACAGCAGCGCAGGGTCAGGGATTCTGGTGGACTCTCCATGTCCTGTGAGCCTGAGCTTCTCGAGCCCTGGGGTTCGAGGAGGGTGTGGGAGCAGGAGTTGGAGAAGGATATGGAGGCAGATGAGGAGGAGCAGGAGCTGGGAGCAGGGACCGGGATAAAGCCAAGTACGGTCCCTTCAATCAGGCCCCTGGGCAGGACCTCCAGGCCCTTAGCGTTGGCCTTTGTAAACCCAGTGCGCCAGGAGAGACAGAGGCGCAGACCCAGGAGCAAAGGAACACCAAGAGCCGTGTTGTTGGGGAATGTGACCGAAGGGCTGGGAGGGTGGTGAAATAAGTGGTGTGTCCAGGGGCAGGTCACCCCACCAGGGAGTGCCGTAGGTTCCCACACCCTCGACACTGGCCCCGACATGCAAAGAGTCAGGGCAGGTGGGAGCAATTCTTCTTTTCCTTGCTCTTAATTCCTTCTGCGGTAAGTTGCCTTTAAGCTACTGCGTGCAGGCATGTGCACGCATGGGCACACAGGAGCTCACAGCCCACACACATTCACACAGACATGCCAAGCTCATGGTATACATGTGCACACACACATGCACAATACATGCACGTGCACACAAGTAGAACTCAGGCTGCCCACACCCTTGCAGGAGCAGAGGTGGTAAGTGTGGTAGTGGCTCCTTCAGAGGACAGGTCCGGCAACCCTGTGTGCAGGAGGCACAGGCACCCCAATGCCCACCTGGGGGGTGCTGGCATCACAGGAGTGAGTGGGCACCACAGAGGACCCCACTTGCTCCCCATGCCTGTCCTGGGAGGAAGGATGTCAGCTGCTCAGACCGTTAGGGGCTGAGGCGTGGCCCCCAGCTCCCGGGTGTTGGTGGGCTCCCACTGCGGAGCCCTGGGGGCCCTGGTATCTCTGCCTCAGCTCATTGTAGGGGAACATGGGATGGGAGAACAGGGAGCTGCTGCTCCAGCCCAGGGAGGGGTTGTGGTCACTACACAATGAAGACCAGCCTGTGGTGGCCACAGGGGCCCCTAGAAGGGAGCAGACGGGGCCCCTCTGCCCAGGTGGCTCACTGGACACCACAGGGTTACAGCAGGAGGGCCTCACACCCTTGTCCCTCCGATGGGAGAGGTGGACAGTGCCCTGGGCAGGGTTGTAGGATCCTGCAGGACGGGCGTGGAACCTCAAAGTTGCTGACTTGGTGGAGAAGAGCAGTTCTTTCTGTTTGGGGGCGGTTGCCAGGGCTCCAGGCGGTGACGCCAGCCAGGGTATCTGCAGCCTTTGTTTAGATCCTGTCGCCATGGCAGTGCCTGTTTGTTTTGATGTTACTATGTGTTAAATTTTAAACAAATTTCTTGCAGCTCTATACCAAGTCTTGACTGAAGACTATTGTTACCTAGACAAAGACTCCAGCATCCTCCACGCCCCAAAGGGCAGACAATAGTCAATCTGAAATATTAATTAATCAGGACCTCATATGCACAAGCAGGAGTATCACCCTGATAGCCCCATTTGGGGGGCTGTGGACGGCAGCATCCCCTTCTATCCTGCCTGCGTGCGCCTGCCTGTGCAGGTCAGGCACTGGGGCCCCCACCCTGCAGGGGAGAGGCCAGCCCAAGGGGGCAGAGGAGGGCAGGGGTCTCTGTTCCAGCCTCTCCTGACTCAAACGCACATCGCTCTTGTGGGTGCTGTGTGCTCTCAGAGAAAACAGCCTGTGTCTTGTGACACCCATGCAGGGAGACAGCTCAGCAGCCCTCGTGTCTGGCATCTGGGTCCTAGGTTAGGAGGGAGCAGGTAGGCGGGGCTCCCTGTCACAGGAGACCTGGAAAGCTGCTCCGTTCTTGCCACACATGCTACAGTCTCAGCCAGGACACATGGGAATTGTCTGAAGCAGGGGCTCCTGAGCCAGGCACATGAGCCGCAGAAGCTCAGCACAGAAGCACAGGCCGGGAGCCCAGATGCCGTTCAGAGTCTGTCCGGTGCCCGGAGCAGGCTGAGCCTGTGGCGGGAGCCCCAGCAAAGAGCAATGGTGGGGTGGGGATGCCGTGGAGGGGCTGGTGGAGTGGGCAGAGCTCTGGGTGTGATGTGACATCTGAGACATACCACCAGTGGCACAGTCACCAGACAGAGCTGGTGGTAGTGTCTGCTCAGTGCCCCGAGGCTCCCCAAGCCCCGCTTTGCTCCTGGGCCTGAGGGCTGCCATGAACAGGCTCCTGGAGGGAAGGGCAGCCGATGCTCCCCAGGCTGGGCCCTCCCTGACCCCAGCCCCTCCCTCCAGGATGATGGTGAGGTTGGGACGTTCAAGAGACCAAGAGAGAAGTGCACCCAGTCCCCGGCTGTGCTTTCAGCTTCATGGTGAGGGTCTTCCAGGGTCAGGGTGGCCACGGTGGCTTCTCTGTGAGGCCTTCTTATGACCACCAGCGCCAGTGCAGGGCGTCCAGTGGCTTCCACCCTGAGCCTCTTGGGCCCTACCCCTCCCGGGGTAAGTCCAGCCCCAGGCGCCCTGACCCCACGTCCCCAGGTCCCCACGTCCTCACCACCACAGCCCTGCACTGGGCAAACACAGAGTTAGAGTTAGGAGGAACGTTCAGGGTGGCTTTTGCCTAGTTAGGGGACGTAACTGCATGTGTGTGTGGGTGAGGGGCGGGGATCGCAGCTGCCCCTGCAGGCAGGTCATGGCCGTCAGCAGCCAGACCTGCCCTTTGAGTGGGCAGGCCAGGCTGCCCGGCAGAGGGGGCGGCCTGGGCAGGGAGAGCCGAGTGACTGCCAGGAGAGCGCTCCGCGAGCACAGCAAGAAATCCCCCAGGCAGGGCTCCCCCAGGGGTGCGTCCCCACCAGATATGCTGCTCCAGGAGCCTCCGCATCCCCACTGGCCCAGGGCAGGGTCGGAATGTCCCGGAGGCTCCTGGTTCTCTGACCCCCTCAGTGCCTTCTACATAGGGCTGCAGGTCCCAGCTGCTGCTGGTCAGGGGAGCCTGGGAGAACTAGCACTTTCTCTGACTCTCCTTCCCCTCCTTCCACATCCCCCTGCCCCCACCACCACTCCCCCGCCCTGCCACCTCCCTGCCAGGGCATCCGGTAGGCTAGGAGCCCCCTCTCAGCAAGGGGCCTGGGAGTGTGCAGTTTGCTCGGATTCACGAAGGTGCTGGCAAGGAGGGGACTGGGAGCGGGGGATGTGGGTCACAGTGCTCCATCCTGGGATGCACTGGCCGAAGCCTGGGAGGCTTCATGGTGTTGGCCCTGGAGGCACACAGGTCTGGGTCTGTCCTTGGAAGGCTGGCCTGGCCTCTGGTGTCCCTGGGTGACCTTCAGGAGCAGCGGGCCCAGCCCCCTCCCTGCCTGCCCTGAGTTAGCCCTGGGGGCCCAGGGGACGCAGGGGCCTTGTGTGTGAGTGGTGACCCCATCACTGCTGGGCTGGCCTTCCAGCAGAACAACAGCCTTCTGAGCAGGGCGCCGGTGGGGAGAGGAGGGGCTCAGTGTGGGGACACCGCCGTTGTGTGCACTCTTGAGAACAGGCTCAGTCTGTGTGTGGAGAGCAGCGTAATGTGATCGTGTCTCCGGGGAAGGCTGGCATTGTCACTCTAGAACTCGCTGGGGACTCTCTCAGCAGCAGGGCAATGGGTCCCCTGGGGAGGACTCCAAGACCCACCCATCGATCACAGTGGGGACACTGGGGGACACCTGGCCCAGCCAGGTGCAGTGGGCGTCAGGGCCCTGGGCCTGGGTGTCCACTGCAATCTGACTGTGCCCTTTGACAGCAGCTCCCGTGGGCCATCTCCCCACCCCTGGCCCGAGTGACTCACACTGGTGGCGCCTGGTGCCGCAGGGCCCGGAGAGGGCTGCGTGTTCTAGTGGCCGCCACCGGGCCCAGCCCTCAGGCCTGGTGTCCCACCCCAGCCCGGCAGGCAGTGAATAGGAGACAGGAGAGCCTGTGACAGCCCAGGACAAACAGCCCTCCTCCAGGGCCTGGAGGTTACCCACCCAGTAGGGCCGAGAGGAAGAAAAGAGGCTGTGTTTGCACCATTCCAGGCACCCCAGGCTGAGGGCAGCTGCCCAGAATGGCCCTCGGTGCCTGTAGACCTTGGTGCATTTCTGAGTGTCCCTCCGAGCTTCGAGGGAAAGAACCCACCACCCAACACTGTGGGTCTGACGAAGCCTTGGTCCAGCCATTACCCAGCCCCCGCCTGTGGCCATCAGGACAGATGCCCTGGGGGCAGATGGCCCTGAATGTGCCCAGGGGACCCTGCTCCCCATCCCTCTTTCCAAATGGCCTCCCAGAGGGGTGAGGTTGGGCTGCAACCTTTAATTAGCTCTCCTGACCGTGACATGTCAGTCGGCATGTCCCGTGTCTTCAGACACACTTGCAATATGCAAGGGAATCCCTGCGCTTGCTGTGGATGTGCCAAGGTATGTTTGTCCATCCACCACTGAAGGGCAGAGCTGTTCCTAGGGTTGGCGACTACAAGCAGAACTGCGAGTAGAGTGGTGATCATCGTGAGCTCAAGTTCTCATTTCTCTTGAATGAGAACCTAAAAGTGGGGTTTCAGGGTCATGCTGTAGGTGTGATCCTTAAGAAACTGCCAAACCACCTTCCACAGTGGATGCCATGCTGCGTCCCCTCCGGCTCTGTCTGAGCCCCAGCAGCCCTACATCTTCCCAGCGCTGGGGATGTCCTGTTCATCTGGTCACCTGGGCTGTCCTGTGGGAGTGTGGCGTCTCCCCGGGACTGACGACATGCAGTCTCTCCACGCGCTCGGTTGCCACCCACAGATCTTTGGCCAAGTGTCTGGTTCAGATATTTTGTCCAATTTTTTACATTGGGTTTCTTCTTACTGTTAAGTTTTAAGAGTTCTTCATATACAATATTTCCAAAACAGTCCTTTATCAGATGTGTTTTGTATTTTCTCCCAGTCTGTGGCTTGTCTTTGCATTACAGTATCTTCTGAAGAAAATGGTTTAAAAATTTTAAAGTCCAATTCATTTTTTTTAATGGACTGTTTCCTGGTATCACTTCTAAGACATCATTGTCTCAGCTAAGGTCATAAATATTTTCATATGTTCTTTCAGAAGTTTCATAGTTTTAGGTTTTAGAATAAATTTATTAGGACTGGTCCATTTTGAGTTAACTTTTATCTGTGGTGCAAGGCACAGACCGAAGCTCACTACTTCATAAGTGGATGTCTAGTAGTTCTAGCTCAACTTGTTGAAAAGATGATCCTTGCTCCACTGAATAGCCTTTGTTCTTTTGTTGAAAACATTTTTGCCATTTTGAACTGGGGAAGATCTGGTCAAAATGGCAAAAATGTTTTTTAGTTAAAATCACAAAAGCTGGAGAACCAGTTTAGGGCCTTTTGAAACTGCATGACTGACACCTTCCCCCGCCCGGGGAATTCTGTGCTGTTACAACATACGTTTGGATGAAGCGCTGCACGTGGCCCCCTGCCCGGCCCCGGGCCAGCCTTGTGCTGCTCACCTGGACTGGCACCGATCAGGCCCAAGCAGCTTTTGGGCAGGTGGCAGTGGGGGTCCGAGGTGGTGGGCCTGATGGGCAGGCCCATCGGGCCTGACTTGTCGCGTGTCCTGGGCAGGGGCCTCCCTCTTGTCCCTGTGTGGTAACCATGAAACGCCGACTGCCTGCGGTGGCCCCAGGCGGGACCAAGGCCTCTTCCTCGTGGTTCAGATCCAACGAGCTTCTCACCCTAACTTTTCTTGGAAAGTCCTTTCCTGAGTGGAGGCCACAACACATCCCATTTAGAAATGGATTACGGCTCTGTTTTAATGGCCAGTTGTTCGTAAAGGATGTGCTTCCTTTAAGCTTTTTTCCACAATTTATATTTGCTGCTGTTGCCGATGGTGACTGACTGTTGGGTGTAAACACTGCAGGGGGAGGGGCATGTTCTGTGTTTCAATGTTCGACTCGCCTGCTGGTGTGGGAGAGATGGGGTGGGGGTCTCCGGGGAGGGCTGGGGCCCTCTAGTGTCATCAGGACCCTGGGTCCCCGCTGAGTGAGGCAAGTGGCCAGAGCCCCTGAGCCCTCTCTTCCTGCAGAGGGAAGTCCTGCCGGACCATCACGTTTGAGCAGTTCAAGGAGGCACTGGAGGAGCTCTCCAAGAAGAGATTCAAGGACAAGAGCAGTGAGGAGGCCATACGAGAGGTGCACAGGCTCATTGAGGGCAAGGCCCCCATCATCTCGGGGGTGACGGTGAGTGCAGAGGGTGGGCAGGTCCCTTGGGAAGCAGGGCCCGTGACATCTAGGGAACTGATGATAATGGCCTAAAGACGGGGTGGGAGCCTTAATCCCCTGCGTGTGGGCTGACCCAGCCTACTTCCCCAGACGGAGAGCCCAAAGTGGATTCCGGGAGCCTTTAGCATCCCTCGTGTGTGGGCTCAGTCCCTTTGGTTGAAACCTCCCCTCTCCAGCTCCCTTGACACACCCATTCCTTTTCATGTGGTTTGGCTGCAGTTAACCCCTCTCCCTGCTCTCCTGCAGAAAGCCATCTCCTCGCCCACCGTGTCGCGGCTCACAGACACAACCAAGTTCACAGGCTCGCACAAGGAGCGCTTCGACCAATCTGGCAGGGGCAAGGGCAAAGCCGGCCGTGTGGACCTGGTGGATGAGTCGGGCTACGTGCCAGGCTACAAGCACGCGGGCACCTACGACCAGAAGGTGCAGGGGGGCAAGTAGCCAGTCCCCAGGAACAGGGCCTTCCTCTGTTTCTGGCCCCAAATCACCTCACACTTCTTTACATTCCTGAGCTCGCTGGGGCAGAACTCAAGACGCCAGGGCGGGTGGCTGTGGGTGACTCCCAGGACTCTCTCTCCTGCCTGGGGCCCCCGGTGTGCTCCTCTCCTGCCCCAGGTGTGGTCCCTGAACTCACTGACCTTTTTCTAATGCACCTGCCTCGTCCCATGTTGGGAAGTCAACAAATGGTCATTTCCAAATGTCTCCCAGGACCAGAACACACAGGCCACCTGATTTGCAGGTGAAAGGGGTGTTTTGAAGGAGCAGGTGGCACAGACCCTGTCAGAGGTGGTGCTAACCTCCTGACTGGCAGATCCCTCCCAGGAGCCATGTGGGCAACATGCACTAACGCACTAACCTGCAGCACCAGCGAGATGAAATGAACCTCGAACAGGACACAGCAGCATCTGTGAGGGCTCCATGCAGGTGTGCGACACACAGGTGCATGTTTGCACATGCACACACACGCCCATGCATACACACCCAAGCACTCACAGACACACATGCTCATGCGTACACATACACTCACACACATGCTTACGCACGCCTACAGACCAGGTCTGTGCTGAGGGTGGTCTTGTAAGCAAAGGCTGGTGTGCAAAGGAAGGTGAGCCAGTAGAAGAAAGCTCCTCGGTAGGCCAAAGGAAAATGATCTGAAGTGTGAAGTTCTAAGTTCTTAAAATGGAAACCAAGGATGGGTCATTTCATTTTGCTTTTTAAAGAAAAGAAGAAAAAGTGACTGTGTTTATTCTCAGAATGGGTCAGGGATGATTCAGAATATCCCGTTTCTGTGACTTTCTTTCCCTGCCATCCCTGCATCTCCAGGCTGCAAGACCCTGTTGGCCCCAAGGCTCCCCAACAGGCAGGCATGGGACAGGGCCCCTTCTGCCTGTCCCCTGAAATAGGGGCCTTGCAGCTGCAGGTTGACATGGCTACTTCCTCTTTGCTCACAGTGCAGCACACTGCATCTCTGCAGCTCCAGCCTCTGCAGTAATTCTCGCTGTTCTGGACTCCCAACCGCAGAGTGTAGGAAACCTCATGACAAAACCAGGCCAGAAAGGGCCCCTCTCCGAGGCCCACGGCATTGGCTTTCACAGCAGCCACAGGCGACACTTCCACTTGCAAAAATGCAGCCACAGCCTGTGACCTGGTGGGCCATCTGGTCCTGAGCCGGTCCTTGGAAAAGCCCACGACAGCCTCAGGAAAGTGCTTCCTGGAGCTGGGCTGCCACAGCCTCTGTCTGCCCTGCAGCCCCTTCCTGGACGTGTGGCCTGGCCCAGCATAGGCGGTCGAAAAGTGGACTAGCACTGCTGTGGCACATGCGCCGGTCACCGTCGGGGCTGGGGGAGGCCGCCCACTGCTGGCTCAGGGCCAGCACTCCCAGCTGACGTAGCCGCTCCAAAGCGATGGTGTCTCCGCCTGGCTCCTTGCACACTGACCCCCCCTCACCACCCAGGGTGGCCTCAACTCATGGATGGAGGTGACCTCTGCAGGCAGTTCCTTTCTGAGCCTCTGGGGGCTCCCAGCATGTGACATTAGAACTTCGGAGACAGTGGAACACAGGCTCCATCCCTTTTAGGGTTAATCTCACGGTTGTCTGGAAAGTTTCTAACTTGGGGATCCTAAGCTGCCTGACTAGGCCACTCCACAGTGGGGAAACTGAGGCCCAAGGACTCGGTCAAAGGCAGACAGGATGCCAGACCGCCACCCTGTGCCTGTCTCTCCTCCCCCAGGCTGGACCTTTGTGTGAAACCCAAAGGCAAGAGTAACCTGTGGGAAATGCATCTGAAGACAACTGAACATGCAAAGCACTTCTTGACAACAAGATGATCACAAACCACAGCCTGCCTTGTGTTCCAGCGCCTGCAGGGTTTCTATCAGGGGCCACAGAACAGGGCTTCGCTTGGGGCCTGAGACACTGCTGTGGAAGAACGCCCACCACCAGGGGCCGCTGGTTCCCTGGTCTGAGGCTGCTTTTCTTCTGCTCATAAAGAGCCCAGTCCCCATTGTCACAGACACTGAAATCCAACAGGACGTCAGCAAGTACAGCGTGCATGCCGGCAAGGGCAGAGAAACAGGGTCCCCATGCCACAAACCATACAGAGATAGATGTCACCTGGGTCTGCCGTGGATGCAAGCCCTTCTCAGCCCCTCCTTGCCTGCTGGACGCTGGAGAGAGGTGCCTGACACCAGGACTTGGTCTCCTGCCCCATAGCAGTCTTCAGGCAAGGAGAGCGACCACACGGAGGTTCCAACCCCAGCTGAGGGCCAGCCTGCCAGGAACACACTGGGAAAGTGAGGTCTAAGCAAAAGAAAGAATGAGTGCCCTGCTGCAGCACCCACAGTCAGCAGCATTCTCCCATGGCGCCCACACCAGAACTGGAGCCCCCCATCTACCCGTGAGGCAGGCCCCAGCCTGCGGCGCACCACCCACCTCAGGCTGGTGGAGGTGAGCTACTTGGTAAGAAACTGCTGGTCCACTGCTGAGGAAAATTTCAAAATGCTCTGCTGATCCTGATAGCAGCAGCTTCTCTTTGGGTTTTATGAATGAAATCGAGTGCACATAGCTGCTCTCCCTTGGTGACCCTCCCCATCCCAGTCTGGCTAAGCTCAAGGGAGACCTTCATGCCCTGGGCCCAACTCCCCAACACGCTAGGTCAAGCAGCCTGGTCCCGCTGGCCACAGAGGCACTGCGGTGCCCCTGAGTCCCCTGCCCATCCCCAAGCTTTGTCAGACACATACACACAGGCCAGGACGTATGTTTCTCCAGTCAAAGTATAGCTCTGAAAACCTACCCTCCTCTTTTTGTCAGAGAAGGGGGAAAAAGGGGTAAAATTAAGTCATGAGGACTTAGGAGTCACCATTCCATCCATTTAAAATCATCTGGTGAATGCTTCATTGCACTTGTGTGTAGCCTCTGAGCATACACTAGCTTGGACTCCAACTTCACTGCACAAAACAGACACACATGCATGTCCCTCCATCAGGTTCTGAATATTGTGAATACGTAGGCAGAGTGTGTGTCTGTGCTGCATGTTTTTATGCAATGCCAGTCAGCTTCTACTAACCACAGTTAAATACAAATAAAACGTCTATCTGTGAACAAAAGAAACTGCACAACAGGCACCCCGGGAGGCAGGACACGTTCTGAGGGGAGGCCACCCGGGGGCAGGATGCATTCTGAGGGGAGGACAGTGCTGATGGTGTCTGAACACCAGGAGAGAACAGCAGAAGGAGCACGCTTGAAAACACTGATCATACCAGAATACTTATTTATTTCTATTTAACGCAAGTAGGCAGTGGTCAAGAACAGAGTTAATTTTACCAAAATTGAAGTTCAAATTACCTAAGTTTAAAATATTATAGCAAGATATATATTTATACTGGAGTATTTTTACAACTTAATAGTCTCGAGCTTGAGTTTTGAGACAGATGAAAATGAGAGCAGATGCCAACCCGCTGGGGAAGGGTGTGCAGAGGCACTCTGCCGGCACCGCTGGCTGCCTGTACATGCTTCTGGCCTCCCTGTCCCCGTGGACGAGCCCCAGGAGGGCCACGTGGCCGTCCGACCCTCTCAGTGGACAAAGAGACTGCAACAGCAGGCAGAGGCTCCCCTACCTGACCTCCTGAGCCAGCACAATCGCCTGTTTCTATGAATTAAGCTTTCATGGCACAGGCCACGCCCCGCTTAGGTGCTGTCTCTGGCTGCTTTTGCGGCGACACTGGCGGTGGGGAGTTGACAAGAGACACAGTGGCCCATGGAACCTAAAATATGCACCATCTGGCCCTCGAGGACCCACTTGGGATCATTTCTGCCTGGGTATCTATACACAAGCTGGCTACTTCCCTGTCCTGCAGCATACGCCACATAGGGACACCCTGTTGTCACCTGTTCAATATAGTACAGGTTGGCAATTTAGCTGTACTGTGAAATTATCAATAGGTTAGAATGTCCTTAAAACAATGGCCCTGAATAGTTTCCTTTTACTGATTTACCACTAACCATTTTGTGAAATCTGGTGGTTCAGGGGCCTGGCCTTTGGTCACAGTGCTTAGAGATGCTTCAGTTAACTCTCTCTCTTCCTGTAGACTTTTGAAACACCAAACCAAGCCAAACAAAGGAAACCCACACAACTTAAGAAACTTGAAAGGGATCATATACTACTAGTTTGTACTAAGTTTTTTCAGGAAAGGGAAATAAATTTATATATACATGCAATATATTTTTACACCGTCTTATTAATGTTAGGGAGTACTGAGTGTATCACTTTATCAGAGTGATGGGTACAGTAATGTCAATGTCATGGGTGTTCTGACTCAGAAAGTCTAAACTGCACTCAGTAGGAATGTCCGTGGGGTTGCGGGGCGCCTGCTCTCCCGCTGGTGGAGTGCGAGGCTCAGAGTCACCTGTCGGGTCGCTGTCGAGGCCTGGCCTATAAACCTTTAGTGAAACAGCTCATGTCTGTCTGCACATCGCTCCTCATGTGTCCGCTGTTATTAACATTGTGTGTCAAAGTGATAAATAAAGTGTTAAATTGTGGATCTCTTGAGAATAAGTGCCCTGTCTGGACTGGCAGTCACATGGGGCCGTGGGAGGGCATGCAGAGCCCAGCTCCCAGGGCTGGGAGACTCTGGTCCGCTCCCAAAAGTCTTTCACTTCCTCACTCAGGTGACCACTGACCTGACCCCGTGCAGAGCAGGTGGGCCAACCACCTGCTATGTCCCAGGCCTAGTCTTGTTCTAGTGCAACCCTGCGGGGGTCTAGATCCAGGGGGACAAGACACAAACTACATTACAAACAACACAGCAGCCCCAACAGGAACGCTGTCATCAAGTAACTGCCAATCTGAAACCCTAGCCCAGTTTTTCAAAAAATGCTTTTCAAAACTAAAGATAAAAAAAGGCATCTTTATTCTGTAAGGGGGGAACTCCCACCAGTAGACAAGAACAGAAATTCTTGACACAGAAAGAAAGCAATTGCAGAGGGAATGTCCAAGCTGTGAGGAAAGTGAAGCAAAGAATAAATAGTAAATAATTGTCAATAACATAGTGATTATGTAAACACTTTCTGTGGGATTAACAATATTTCATTAAAATGACCGAAAAGCATCACATGGGCACCAGAATCGACTTACATGCTCATGGATGCTATATGATATCAGAGGGGGATGGAAGGGCTGGTAAAATAAACATGAACATGCAACAATACACCAGAAACAGCACACAGCTTCCAAACTAGTAGAGGTAAAATGCTAAATGATAAAAAAAATCTAAAGCAGCAACAGCGGCGAGTGAAAAAAATGACAGCACAAAATGATACAGCGGACTTAAACTAAAATATATCAATTCCATTAGAGGATAAAGCAAAGAAACACAGAATACAAAAACTGACAAAATAACATTTTTAAGCCAAATCTTTCATTAATTTCAGCATGGCTAAAAATAGAAAGGTTAGAACAGAAAATGAAAAGAGAAGGAAATGAAGAACAAGGCTTGTACTTTGACAGGACTGGTGAACTTGACAAATATCTGGTGGATTAATGAAGAGATTAAGTTCAAAAACCAATGAGAAGGATGACCAAGGGAAAGGGGAGCTGGGCCCGAGAAGCAGATGCTGAGCAGCTGGCATGTTACGGGGAGGGCACAGGAGAAGAGAACCCTCCAGGCCATGACGCAGACTTGGGAAAGTCCTGCCAGCCCAGCAGGGTCCCTAGCGATAGTCTGCTTGAGACTATCCCTCTGGCAGGAGGGCCAGGCCCCGATACCTACCTGCTCAGTCACTGGCTGGGGCCCACAGTTGAAAGCTGAGGCAGAGCCTGAGGCCACAGGCAGCTGCCAGTTGTCTCTTACATGCACAGCAAGGTCTTAAGCACAACGGCCCCTACATTTCTGCCACAGGGACACAACTTCAAATGCTGAAGTTATTAAAATGCTATTAAGAGACTGTTACACCAAAAGTTTGGAAAATGATGCAACTGAACAAATTTCTAGAGATGCTAACTTCTGAAAACTAACTCAAGAAGAAATGGAAAGACCACACAGTCCTATGATTTAAGGGAAGTAGCTACCAGCCATAGTGGAAAACTCCCCAAATCTCAGTGGCTGGTCAAAACAAGTTATTTCTCATTCACAAGAAGTCCAACTGCAGTCAAGCAGAGGTCGCTTCAACCAACAGAAGAGAAACAGGCTCCCTATCTTGTGCCATAGCTGGCAAGGTCACTGAGGGATGGGAGTGGCCCACCACACACTCACATCATGCTTACTGTGTGTTGGATACTGTCCTAGAACTTTATTTATAATAAATCACTTAACCTTCACAACAACATATAAGGCCGGCACCGGCAGTATCCCATTTTACCAATGAGGAGATCGAGGAATGGAGAATTTAAATAATTGCCCAACGTTAGACATTAAGTGGTATACCTAGAAATAAAATACTAAACAAGATATAAACTAACCAAATACAACTATATATCTGTAAAAGAAAACCCATCATGACTAAATGGTGCTTATCCCAGAAATTTAGGTGATCTGTACATTAGCAAATTATTATAATTAACTACAATAAAAATAAAGGAGAAAAATTATATGGTCATCTCAGTAGTTGCTGGAAAGTGTTTGATAAAATTCATCTATTCACGATGAAAAATTCTTAACAAATCAGCAATAGGAAGGAACCTCTTTAACCTGATAAAGACCATCTACAAAAAAAAAAAAAACCCTATCACAAATTAAGTGGTGAAATGGTGAAAGCTCTCCTTTTATTTATTATTTTAGAACAAGACAAAGAAGCCCACTCTATTACCTTGTCCAATCAATATTGCACTAGAATTACTAGCCAGCAAGGAAAAGCAAAAACCAAAAGAAAATAAAAAGGAAAAAAATAGAGTAAAAACCCAGAGTGAAGGAATGGAAAAGAAAACAAGAAAACCTATTTCTCATAGGAAACATGACTACATGCCTAGAAAAGCTAAAATAACTACAGTTAAATTATTAAATTTAAGAGTCTAACAAGATTGCTGGGTATAAAATATACAAAACTCAACTGTATTTCCATATAATGGCAACAAATTAGAAAAAGAAGTCCAAACAAATTTTTAAAATATCTTTTAGAAATGTCATCACAAAATAAGAGAAACCTAGAAATAAATATAACAAAAGACTCACAAAACCCCTATGGAGAAAATGACAAAACTATAATGAACTCAATATTACCTGCATGTCAATTCTTTCCAAACCAAGCAATGCAATCTCAAACAAAATCCCAACTTAACCAGCTAATTCTAAACTTTATAAAACACAAATGGTCAGTAATCGCCCCAAAATCCTGCGCTTGAGACAGAAGGTCTTACCGTGCCAAGTGTGGGTGTGCACAGAGATGGACGGGGGGCCAGTGGGAGGAACAGAGGCTCAGACAAACACACTATTTAAGCCCAGAAGTCTTGTCATTGAGGATGCTGGGTAATTGGACTTACACATGAAAACAATGAAATTGGGTCTTTAACCTTTACAACATGCACAAAAATCAGTTCTAGGTAGACAAAGCAATAAAGTCTTTTGGAAGATAACACAGCAGAACAGAGAAAGACTTTTAAAAATTAGTAATTAAAATTATTGCAGCATAATGAAAAATATTGATAAATTGGACCATATTAAAGATTACAATTTCTCTTCATCGAAAGACACCATTAAAAAGTGGAAAGAAAAAGCTATTAGTGAATGTAAACCACAAAGCATTACTATTCAGAAATCTAAATAATTCCTGCCGATAAACAGTAAACAGACTATCCAATAGAAAAATAGGGAGGAACACTTTACAAAAAGGAAGTCCAGAGGGCCAATTAACATGAACAGGTGCTCAACTCCCTTGATAACTGAGGAGAAGCAAATTAGAATCACAGGAAGTACATTATACCCCTCTAGAATAGAGATATTAAAAACTTTGGAAACACATGTTAAAAACATAGACCAATAGAAATTCTCATGTACTACTAATAGGAGGGCTGGTATAACCACTTTAGAAAAAATTTGAAATTATCTACAGTAAAGCTTTTGAGTGTATGGTTAAGGAGTTAAATGAAACATGAACCTAATGGGAAATAAAAACTTAATGAAAAATAATAAAAAATGATTTTGAAACTAAAAAAAAATATTTCTAAAATTAAAAACTCACTCTACAGGCTTAACAGCGGATAAGGCAGAAGATCTGTGAACTTTGCAGGAGGGCAGCAGAATCGATCCCAACTAAAGCCTGAGAGAGCTCCACTGACAAAAAGCCCAAGTTTAGTGGCCTGTGGAGATCAGACTGAGTGGCCTAATATAGGTGTGGCTAGAGTCCCAGGAGGAGAGAGGGAGGAGAGATAAGAGTGGGTCAAATAAGAAATCTGAAGAAATGGTGGCCAAAACTTTTCCAAATTTGATTAAAAACATATATACTCACAGGTCCAAGAAGTTCAATAAAATTCTAACAAGAGCATCATAAGTAACAGCATGCTGATTATACTCTATAAACTTACTAAATCTAAATAAGTTTTAAAAATGATCTGATGACAGAAATTCTACCCCACAAGAAAACTACATTTGGTATGACACATTTCCCAGCTAATTTACAAAAACTGGTGCTGTTGAACACAGCTGTGACCAAACAGGTGACTGGAAAGGACACTTGAAGCCTAGAGACCCCCTCCTCTAACAGGGGGGGACCCAATACCCCTCTGGCTTCCCCCACGATAGAGTCCTGACAAGCACAGCTACACACAGCATCTTCTCAGAGAGCCTTGTTTTTCCTCAGGTAAACCTTGTTCTAAAAAACTGCTTTATTTTACCAAAGCTAGTATTACATAAGATGAAGTTTTCAAACTAAAAAAAAATAAATAAATCTAATTTTATGCCCTAATATAATTTTCAGAAATATGCTGTAAGCAAAAGAGAGCCAGAGCTTAGGTAGATATTTTTCCTGTAGGATGTTAATGTCACAAAATATTTTTTAAAAAATGTTTCTCACACCACAATTATTACTTTTATTAAATCCTGGAACTGACTTGTTTCTGCGTACAACCACGGTGCCTAAGCTTGTTGTATAAAAGAATTCAAGGATAATTTATAAAGAGCCAAGTTTTAGAACAATTTATTTTTTTGTTTATTAAGTAAGAATTGTTACACAGAAATTATTCTTTAATCATCATGCATAGTTCTTTTACATTAAGCAGGAAAACACTGCATTTTCTTTATCTAAAGATACTTGATGAAAAATGATCTGTTTGTCTTAAAATAGGTCAATGTGTTTTTTCTCAAAACATGTGAACAGCTTGGATTAATCCTGTCTTTGTAGAATGTTTTAGAAAACTGCACTGTGGGCCATGACTGCATTTCAGAACTCACAAGTAACTGCAAATGGAGGAGACAGTTCTCATCAACAAGTACACCAGGCGAAGAACACATGCGTGCACGCCTCACGACTTGGAAGGTCAGGTTTAGGAGCAGCTCCCGAGGCGGGCGCCACTGAGCGGGAACAGGGCCATGGTCTTCTTGAGCTCCTTGTAGCTCCAGTGCAGCTGTTCCACCTCAGCCCTGTGCTGAGCCCGCACCTGGCCCAGCTCCTGCAGGAGGTGCTCGTTGGTGCTGACAAGGGAACTGGGGAGAACACAGGCAGCCATGTCCCGGCTCTGCTGCTGTCTTCTCCAGCAGCATCCTCCCTCACCTGGCCAAGCCTGCCTGTCGACCCCTCACGCTCCAACCATGCCCAGGCCTGTACACCTGCTCCCTCCTGGCGTCTGCCATCTGCCCCTTGCCTGCAGACCGGGTGGGGCTATGTTTGACTCAACCTTCCAGCCATCATGCCACCCTGCAGGCACTGTCTAGCACCCATGAAATGGATCCATGACTCAGCCTGAATAGATGGATTCCTCAATGCTCCAGGCACGCATGGTTTATTGAGAAGACTGTCATAGTCTATGGCTGGCAAAACAATGTTCTAATGCTAGAAAAGACCCAAACACTGATTTTTAATTCCCAGTCAAACATAAAGGACCCTCTTAAAAATCCTGACATTGTAGCAGTACTACTGAAAAGTCCTGATTTTTTTCATATTGTTAACCATTTTTAATTATAGAAGGGGCTTCAGAAAGAAAATGGTGTTATATTTTGCCAAATTGCCCTGCTCACCCAGTCAGCAATGGCTGAAGCACATTTGTACCACCATAAGAAATGGGCAAAATCAGGGCCGTTTCTCCACAAAAGGCCCCCCCCGCCCGCCGCCGCCACTGACAAAGTCCCTGTGCAGGTGGCAGCTCTGTTTGCTTGGACCACTGTGAACAGCCAGTGGCCAGGCAGAGGCTCAGAGTGGACGAGTCGTGTGAACCCCACTCCATCGCACTTAGAGGCTCTGTACCCCTGCCTTGTCCGCATTAATCCCACAGAGCCAATACCTTGTGACCTGCCACAGATGGGGCCGTTGGGCTCCGGGGAGTGATCCTGCATGCCTGCCACTTCCCTGCACCGTGACTGTGTCTCATTTCCCTTCCTTCTGCTCCCCCATCTAGTCCCAGCTCAGTCCCACCTCTTGGGGGACATCGACCCACATCATTGCTCATTATGGCTCACATACCCCTCATCTCTCTGCAGCAGAAAGGGAAGCTCATGGAAGTGCCACAGCAATGCAGAGACACATTTGGGCCCAGGACACTGGACACCGGCAGCTGCTGCTCCTGCGCCCTCCCCATCACACATCGCCCCCTCCCCTCCCTGGCGCGGGCACCTGTGGCTCTCCTGCAGCATCTGCGTGAGCTCCTGGACCTTGTCATAGTGCTCCAGGTGCTGCTTCAACTCCACGATCTCACCGGAGAGCCTCTTCACACTGGTTTGAAGCCCTGAGAAAGAAAATAAGAAGCATTATTTAGTGAAATCATTTGTACATTTGAAAAACTAAAACAATTCTTGAGTTTAAACTGGACCTGGGACACAAGAAAAAGAATACAGAAACAGGTTAGCAAAGGCCAATTTTGTAAGCAACTCCAAGGCAGAGATGAACAAAGAATGCCGCACTGTATGCATCTGGGTGTCTCTCCCCCAGGGCCCAGTCCTGGCTTCCTCTGCGGGGTTGAAGCTTGCGCAATCTGCCTTGTAGGTGCCCTCAAGGAACTGCACCCCTGTGTGGAGGGCGGAGTGACAGCAGAGGCGGGCCTGGTACCAGGTGGACGATCCCTCCTTTGGGCTGGCAGGGGAGGGCCTCAGGGCATCTCTTCCACAGAGCGGCGGGCTCCGCCAAGTGGGAAGGAGCCTGCAGCTTTGAGAAGTGACTGGAAGCGACTGGAAGCCCACAGTGGCCACAGGTCTCTGACGTGCCTTCTGGTCCCATTTCCATCAGTGATAGAGCATGTGTCTGCATTCCATCTATATGACTGTTTCTCCTCTCTGAGTTTTCTTCTCAAGGGGTTAGGGGAAAGAAATATACTATTTATTGGCTCCTAAATCCAAAACCAGGATACAAATAACTCCACATGTAGACCTGTCACTGCAAAACCACGCAACGCCAGAGACAAGGAGAAAGCCAGCACAGGAAGGGAATGGGCAAAAGGACGCCGACACTAACAGTGGGCCCTTCTCACAATGACTGTCCCAGGGACCGAGGTGTTTCCTTCTGCAATCAGACCAAAACACCCTACTCAGAACCTGCTGAGCTTCCGAGAAGAGGGCAGTGTCAGCACAGGTCAGATCAAACCCCACACCAGTCAGCACCAGCAGTAACTAAATGACAGGACCAGCGCCCCGCAGACATTATAACCCATGGAGATAAGGCGGCCTCAAGACCCCAAACACAAGACAGCCCCACCCCGCATGGTATCCACACCTGCAGGTGCAGCACTCAGCAGTGGGGCAGCTGACAGACCTGAGGATGGAAGCACCCCCAAGGGACCCGTTTTCATGAGATATTCTCACAGGCCAACTAGGGAACCAGGGCTGGCATGAGGCAGGTTCAGCATCCTCTGATGAAGTGAACCCGGTGGAGTCTTGTGTGGTCTCAAGGGGCTGGAGCAATGCATGACCCTTGGAACAGGTCCATCTGGTCCCTTCTAGAACAGGGCCATTCTGCAGCTGGTGAGGGGTCCAGGTTGGACTGGACAGCACCCCAGAGAGAAGTGAGGAGGGCACAGAGCCAAAGGAGTTAGAGAAGCTGCCTGACCTGCTCTGTCCAGAAATTCAGGAGGACAAATTTCACGTGACAATGAACGATAGAGACATACTGAGTTCAGACCTCACATGAGTTACTGTAGGAGCACAACAGCTGCCCTTCAGACTACAAAAGCCATGCCCAGAACAGATCAAAACCACAACCAACCGTCTGAGAATGAACTCAAGTCAGACCCAGAGAATGTCAGAAAGGAGGTGGCTGAACTCAGGCAAGAATGTGAAATGAAGGCTGAACTGGAAGGAACTCAAGAGCACTGAATGTGTCAATGACATGTCAAACAAACAAACAAACAAACAAAAAACACAACAACCCCAGAAGGTATAAAGGGGAAAGTTCTAAAATTAAAATAAAAAAAAGAGAAGATCATATACAACGCTTACACTCATTAAATCAGCCCGATCAACAATGGGCAAGAACAGACCAAGACAACTCTCCATGGCTGCATTCACGTGACAAAGGCCACAATAAGTCCTTGGGAGAGAGGCCATAAAGCCATAAAACATCTATGCAATGAAAACCTTCAAGAGACCCCATTTCTCCAGAGAAGGTTCCCATGGAAAATAGACAATACCAACACCTCCTCATTCTAAAGCCCAGGATCTGCACCTGAAATACCAAGACTGTACGCTTGTAAAATGTCAAAATACAGGGTCCAGCAGAAGTAACACCGCTGAGTGTGGTTTGTTAGTGTATGTGAATGTCTCGCATGAGACGGACAGTAATTTGAGCATTTCACCTAAACTGTCATAGGGTGCGCTTGAGTGTGATGTTGTTATGTACAGAATTACATCCTTATGATTTTGTAATAGAAGATTTTTATGTAATAAATAAAAAAGGGGCATTATTTGTGCTGGACCCTGCAGAATCAAAGTGAAGAGAGGGAAATGAACATGATCTGGAAGGCACAGTGATCAAGGAGAAGGACCCACTGTGCCTGCTGGGCACAGACAAGGCTGAGCAAAAGTGAGGTTACCCCGTGCACGTCAAGGGGCAGCCAGGCTGGCACCACAGTCCGTGGTGCCGCACGGTGGATGGTCCCCGAGCTCCTAAGGCTCCAAAGGAACGGAGCAGTGAGGATGGGATGGAGCCCACGGCGGAGGCGCCTCTGCCTCAGGCACAGCTCTGCTTCCACACACGCCTGAGCGTGCTATGGGCAAGCGTGCACATGGCTCATGGGTCAGGACAGCTCACAGAATAACCAGCAATGCGGGTTCCAACACCCATTTTATAGCATTTGCTGGTTCTGAATTCTGGGAATAATTTAAAATGAAGTCTCCATGGGTGTTCGGACACACACATTTCACCAAGTAGTGATTTCAAACAAACCATAAACTCACCAGTGATCTGCAAATTTAATGCAGCTGAAGCCTCTGCATTTTTTACTTCTTTTTTCATGCTGGACAAAAGAGACTTTAAGCTACTATTCTCTTCCAGAGATTTGTCTAAATGTTGTCTCAAGTCATCCTAAGGACACAGAATAATACACTTAAAAAAGACAAATCAAATTCAGCAAAATGCATATAGAAAATGAAATAAAACCTTCTGAAATAACCACAGCTATTATTTTTCTTTCACATATCGGAATTGCTGAATCACAATGTGAAAAGCAGTACAGTCGTATGTCACTTAATGATGAAGATACATTCTGAGAAATGCATTGCTGGGTGATTTCATTGTTTTGCGAACATCACAGAGGCAGGTACAGAAACCTAGATGGTACAGCCCACTGTGCCTGCTGTTCCTTGGCTACAAGCCTGTGTGGCATGTTCCTGTACTGCGCAATGCAGGCAACCGTAACAGTTGGTAAGTATTTGTGTACCCAAGCATACCTAAACACAGAACAGGTCCACTAAAAATACAATATAAAAGATAAAAAAGAAAAATAAGTGGGACGTGTGTGTAGAGGACTTACCATGAACAGAGCCCGCAGGACGGAAGGTGCTCTGGCGAGTCAGTGAGTGGTGAGTGAATGTGAGGGCCTGGGGCACTACTGGACATGACTGTAGACTTATAAATTAGATTACACTAATTTATAAAAAATATTTTTCTCCAATAATATATTAACCATAACATACTATAACTTTTATTTTATAAACTTTACTTTTTTCTTAACTTTTTGACTCTTGTAATAACACTTAAACACAAACACACTGTACAGTTGTACAGAAATATTTTTTCTTTATATCCTTATTCTATAAGTTTTTTTTTTTAAAAAATCTTTTTTCACTTTTTAAACTTTTTTGCTAAAAACTGAGACACGAACACACAGGCCCACACAGGGTCAGGTTCATCAATATCTGTTGTCCACCTCCACATCTTGTCCCACCGGAAGGCCTTCAGGGGCAGTAACAGGCGTTGAGCTCTCATCTCCTACGAAAACAAGGCCTTCTTCTGGAACACCTCCTGCAGGACCTGCCTGAAGCTCTTTTGAGAACATGTCACTCTTCCCAGAAATATGATCATGAGGGTCTGCTCGTTTTTTTCCCATCATAATTTTTTTGTAAGCAGACAGTGCACCATGAGCATTCCTATCCATTAATGAAAAGCTTTTGGTGGTGAGGTCCATGTTTTCCAGCCTTCTGAGGAGCTTGCTGAGGTGTGCAAAAACTTCTTCTAAACCCGTCACTGTAAATTTTCTTGGGGTTTTTTTCTTCTCCTGCAGTTTCCTTTCTCTTGCCTCTTTTTCAGCTATGTGTTCCTGTTCCAACAACTCAGTAGTCAGTCCCTCAGGACCACCTCTGGGAGCTCCGTGATGTCCTCCTCATCCACACCCGAGTTAAAGCTGTTTCCCATCCCAACCACAGCCTTGGCGATTTTTACAGCCTTTGCGCTACAATGTCAGGAAGGCTACGGCCTTGCTAGACAATGGGAACTTTCCATCCCCATTATACTTTTATGGGATCACTGTCAGGTGCACTGACTGAAATGTCATTATGTGGCACACGGCGGCTGGAGTATATATCTTCCCGTCAGCAGGCTGGCCAGGCTGAGAGCATTGTCCTTCACAGAGGACAGAATGGGTGCCCCAATTCACAAGGAGGCGTGGTCTTCCCGCATCCCCTGGTGAGGGGTGTGCTGCAGCAGGAGCCACAGGCCTGGTGCTGAGGGGACCGATGTAATGGCTGCTTGAGCCCCCCTCTTCCAGGAAGTGTTATGGTTGCCACAGCAACAGCACAGGCAGACCCCAGGCCTTTGTGGTCCACCTGGGCAGGTAGCCTCCCTGCAGGAGCCCCAGCACACTGACGGGACATGAAGGAGGGAAGGGGGACTCTCTACCGTCAGAGCGGACAACACAGCAGCCTCTGCCTAAGGCTCTCCGAGTGCCTCCCATGGGTCACGCTGGACCCTGGGGCTCCTGGTGGCACATGGTCCATCAAAGCTGCCTGCTGCCTGGAGCAGGGACCCCAGTGGATCCCCATGGTATCACCTATCAGCCAGAGAAACCCAACAGGCACAGGCCCAGCAGCAGGGCCAGGCACTCCAAGCAGCAACATCGCTTCCGCTGGGGAGCGAGCGTCTCCAGGCAACAGGAGCCCTTGTTATCAGGAAACTGCTGTACTGGTTCTGCCCCCCACACCCCACCTGCTCACAGACCCCTCTCACTGGGCCATGCAGGAACCTCTGTGTGGCCAGTCATGTCTGACAGTTTGTCTTCCAAGGATGTTGTGGGTTCCCAAAGGGCAGGGCTGGGACCCAGTTCCTGATGAGTCTCACCCGCGGGGTGTGGAGCTGACAGTAGACTGACAACACTCAAACGCTGCATAGCCCTTCTGCTCAGAGCCACGCCAGAAGGGCTCGGGGACAGGCCTCAGTCTCCAATTTTCTGGGCATCAGGACCTCAGGAACCCAACCACCAGTGCCACACAACCCAATCTACGCATGGAATCATTACTGTCACGCAGGGAAGGACCCAAGCTCAGCAATGGGCCCTTCAGAAGTGACTTCGTGGGAAGCAGCACCTGCCACCCACCCCAGCTTGTCCCTCCGAGCTCCCAGCTCCCTGGTGGGCTGACCCGCAGCCAGCCTCTTGTCTGTGCTCCACTGACCACTCCTCCCCCCCTGGGACGGGGTCATGAGGAGGCACTGAGCGGGGCTCTGGCGCTGCCAGGTGGCTCTGAATCACTGACCCGGACAGGGCCTCTCAGCTGCCCCTGCCCTGTGGCCGCCCTGTGGGACTGGGTCAGTCAGACAGCTTGCAGGGGCAAAGCAGCAATGTGCACCGCGGCCATGCTTCTGCGCACGTCCTCTGCACCGGCCTGCCCCATTGGTACAAAGCTGACATCTGGAGCCCAAGCTCGGCAGTATGAAAGGAAGGGGTGCTACCTGCTCATCTGCACCAAACCCCAAATGCCATGGTCCTTTGTCTTCACATTAGCAGGCTGTGCCGTGTCCCAAGGGGTCCGCTCTGTCCCACGGGAGCAATGTTCTGCACGGCGACTGCGGTCCAGGCTGGCTGGGGCTCCAGCCCTTGCGGGTGTCAGAGGCATTCGTGAGCAGGTATCCACAGTGAGTTTAAATGCCAGAGGCTGCCAATATCCTTTCACTGTTTTTTCTCTAAAAGTGAAGCTCTGTGTGGGATCTCTGAAATAGCATTTTCTTATAAAATAAAGACAGTAGGTGAACAGACATTTTCGGATGCCTGTTTCCCAGCAATCCTGTGGCTACTGTCACTCTCATTTTACAAATGAGGCGGCTGACGCATAGGAGGTGCCGCAGGCAGCTGCTGCAGTGTCCCCATGAGTGCTCCCAGCCTCACGCAGTGTCCCCCTTGCCACATGACTGGCTCCTAACCAACACAATATGCAGAGGTGACAGCACTTTTGAGAGGAGGCTACGGAAACAGCCTGCCCCCAGTGTTCTGGCTCTCTGATGACCAGCCGAGTCATGAGGACTCTGGCGGCCTATGGAGAGCCCACGTGGTGCGGAGCAGAGCCCGGGCCTGTGAGCGCACCTGGAGAGGATACCCACCCATCAAGGCTGCAGAGGCGAGAACAACCCTGATCCACAGCCTGACGGCAACCTCACGAGACCCGAGACAGACGCACCCAGCTCTGCTATGCTGGGATTCCTGACACGCAGAAGCTACGGACGGTGTTTGTTGTTTTAAGGTGCTACACTTTGCGGTAATTTATTACGCAGCAATAAGTAACTAACACAGAGAGGTTAAGTAACTTACTCAGACTGGCCCGGCTGGTATCTCCACAGCCTACCCTACAGAGTGACGTAACCCATTAGCAGTGACTTTTTAAAAAGTGGGCACCCTCAATAGTTTACGTACAATACAACACAACCCCAGTAACGAGTGAGATAAGACACTGAATGCATGATAGTCTTAACTAAAAACCTGTATAAGTTTACTGTGTACATTTGATGATCTGATACACACACAGTGAAATCACTACTATAGTTAAGATAGCTAACGTTTATTATTACTATGTTTTTGTAATGAGTCACCCTGAAATCTAGTCTTTTAGCAAATTTCCCAGTTTAATACGGTATTATCACCTAGTCATCAAACTGTCCATCAGCTCTCTAGACTTATTCATCCTACAAAAAGCAGCTCTGTATCCCTGACCAGCATCATCCCATTTCCCCTATTCCCCACCTCTAAAAACCTGTCCTACCCTCTTCTTCTACTCAGCTTTTTAATATTCCATATATAAGTGAGATCATGAAATTTGTTCTGACTCAATTTACTTAACTTTGAGGTCCATCCATGTGGACCATGTGTTGCAAAAGAAGGATTTCCTTCTTTTTAAGGCTGAATAATATTCCGTTGTATATGCACATTCTTAATCTACCAGTGGATGGACACAGGCTGCTTCCACATCATGGCTACCATAAACCATGCTGCAATGAACACAGGGGTGCAGATATCTCTTTGTGCTACTGATTTTATGTCCTACGGTTATCTGCCCGGAAGTGGGATTGCTGGATTGTATAGCAGCTCTATTTTTAATTTTTTGAGGAAACTCCTTACTGTTTTCCACAGTGGCTGCATCAATTTACACTCCCACCAACAGTGCCCGCGTTTTCTTTACTCCATATCCTCATCAGCACTTGTTATTTGTTGATTTATTGATGACAGCCATTCCAACAGGCATGAGGTGATAGCTCCTTATGGCTCTGTTATGCATTTCCCCGATGATCAGTGATGTTGAGCACCTTTCCATACATCTGTTGGCCACCTGTATGTCCTCTTTGGAAAAATGTCTATTTTCTAATGAGGCTGTTTCCTCTTTTTTTTTTTTTTTTTTTTTGGTGTGGAGCTGTATGAGTTTTCTATATCCTGGATATTAACCCCTTACAGATATATGGTTTACAAATATTTTTTCCCATTCTGTAGGTTTCCTTCTCATTCTGTGGATTGTTTCCTTTGTTTTGCAGGAGCATTTTAGTTTGATGTAGTCCCACTAGTTTATTTTTGCCTTTGTCACCTACGATTTTGGTGTCATTATTAAAAAAATCATTACCAGAGGCAAGAAAGCTTTTCCCCAGGTTGCGAGAGTGGGAATCTTTGCCTTGCATGGGATCTTAGAGGAAAAGCCTTTAGTGATCATGTTGACTATAGCTACTTAAATGGCCTTTATATGTTGCGGAAATTTTCTTTCATACCTATTTTGTTGACTTTTTTTTAAAAACATGAAGGAACACTGACCTCTGTCAAATGCTTTTTCTACACCTATTGAGCTGATTGTGTGGTTTTTATCTTTCAACCTGTTCACGTGGTATATTAATTTGCATATGTGGAACCAGCCTTGCACTGAAGGTGAAAAACCCCACTTGATCATGGTATATAATCTTCCTGATATAATGTTAAATTTTTCTGGGAGCTTTTTGATTACTGCTCAACCTCCTTATTTATAGTTATTGGTCTGTTCAGGTTTCATTCCTTCCTGATACAATCTTGGTAGGTTGTATGTTTCTAGAAATTTCTCCATTTCTTCTAGGTTGTCCAATATGTTCACGTACAATCATTCATAATAGTCCTTTATGGGTTTGTTTTTTTTATTTCTGAGGCATCCATTGTAACGTCTCCTCTTTCATTTTCGATTTAAGTCTTCTTTCTTTTTTTTCTAAGTCTAGCAATTGGTTTGTTGATTTTGTATATTTTTTTCAAAAACCCAATTCAGTTTTGTTGATTTTTTGTATTGCTTTTCTATTCTCTCTTTATTTCTACTCTGATCTTTATTATTTTCTTCCTTCTGCCAATTTTGGCTTTTGTTGTTCTTTTTCTAGTTCTTTGAGGTGTAAATTTAAGCTGTTATTTTAAGATTTTTCTTCTTTTTTAATGTAGACATTTATGTTCGATGGCTGTGTGGCGCCATTACAAAGGGCAAGGGCAGCGCTGACAGCCAGGAAGCCAGGAGTCGTCTTGGGTTCAGACCTAGGCCCAGCTGTGCAGGCTCTGGCCGCCCTTGGGTGCCACCTGGTGGTGGAAATTCCATTAGGTCCAATTGGACACCTCGGGTCCTGTAGCGGGCTGGTGCAGGCAGGACAGGAGCAGGAACCCCAGGTTCACCCAGCTAACTGGAACCTCTCACCAGTGGTCTGGGGAGCCTGGGCTCAGGAACATGGGACCACAAAAACTCCACCTGAAGCCTAGCTTCATCTTCTCTCTCCCACTCACACTCTCTCAGAGGGGAAGGCAGCTGCTCAGGAGGGGCAGAGCTGGGAGAAGTGGCGATGTCTCCAACCTTTGCCATGGGATCTGGGAGTGACACAAAGTCAGGCTAGAGTCCCCACAGGTGGGGAAAGCCTGGTGGGGAGGAGGGGGTTTGTGATCCTGGAAGGGCAGGAGAGGAGCCCAGTGCTGCAGCCGGACAGCAGCTAAGGAGACTTGCAGAGCAGAGAGTCTCCCCTCATTCTGTGAAGTCAAAACAATGTTTTTACCCTAATTGAACCAAAGGAAATAGAAGGGGTGTGGCTCACCATCTCCTTCCGAGTGTTGTTGAGCTCCGACACCACTTTACTAATCTTCTCACTATATTGCTGCTGTTGTTCAAGGAGGTGATTTTGCAAAGATTTATTTTCAAGAGTCAGGTAGCTTATTTCTTCGCTCATAATTGTTGAATTATCCTGAGTTGCCGTAAAGTCTTGAACTGTTGACAAAATATGGCTTGCCTGAGCTAGGAGTAAAATTCAAGTATTATTATTGACTTTACGCTGAAAGAAGAAATTGTACAGAAAATAATGTCCCATCCATTTTGAATAACACACATTACATGCCTCAATAACACTGACAGGAATGGAGACTGGCAAAGGGACGTGGCTACCATTGAAGCTACCTTTACTCTGGCTTTTTTATATTCAGTCAAGGATGAGAGGCAGAGAAGAGCAGAAAAAGTTTTATTCTAAAGAAAAGGTATCCCTTCGAAGGCTATGCCTAGGATGGGTTGGCTGAGCGCCCTAGCTGCCCACCACACTCTCTTCAGCAGCCCTGACTGCTCCTGTGCCGGCCTGGGACCTGATGCAGGCACTGTCATGACTGGGAATAGCAGCGTCATAGCCTGCTGCTACCCTAACAAGAGGGAGTAGATTTATGGGATCACTATCCAGGGGCTCCAGCTTCTTGGGGTACCCTGATTCTAGGAGGAAAAGCTGAGGGGCCATGAGACTGAGCAGCTAAAGCGCTCAAGAGCCTCTGGCAGCAGCTACAAGGGCAGCTCCAGGCAGGACCCACGGTCTGTCAGGAAGGAGAGCTAGCAAGTCCCTGCTCTTGTTGGGACACTAAACGCTGCACCCCAGGGGAAAGAGGTGGCCCCCTGGATATGCGGCATCCTATTTCACACCCTGACTCTGAGTGAAGGGGTCCCCAATGTGCTCCTGCACCCAGGCACCAGGTGGAAGCAAACCAAAGTCCTCTTGGGGAGGGGCCATCCCCCTGGACCTCAGTCATTTCCAGCAAAACCTTGACAAATCCTGGGTCCTGCATGTGATCAAACTCTCAAAAGGATCAAACTCTCAGAAGACTCCCAGAAGACAGCAATGGCTTTTTGATCTCCAAATCCTCATGTGAAAACAAAGCCAGGAGAACCAGGTAACTGTGAATAGCGCTTCCAACAAAACCAGGTAACGAGGTATCTCCTGGAACCCTTGAGCCAACAGCTGGGAAAACCAACAATGCTCCCCAGCGGCTGTGAGGAGCACTGTCAGGGTGCTCCCTGCAGCGCAGCCGCCAGTGACGGCTGATGAGGAGGGGCCGGCAAGGTGCAGGGCCCAGAACCCAGGGGAGAACAAATACCTGCTAACACAATGCTGCCTGAAGGGGGCGCCCCCGCATGGCTCTGAGCCCACGGGCTGACTGTCCCTTCTTGACTCACCCAGGAACAGTTCGTTGCTGTGCAGGGACTTGCAGCCACTCCAGTACCTGTCCACGAGGTCAAGGAGGGCCTCCAGGAGCGTCGCCTCCAGGGCGGCCCTTTTCCCAGGTGGCACAGCTGAGTGCAATTTGGGAGACACCTGCAGTGGAAACAAAACCATGACGCTGGCTTCCAGTTCCTGAAACACAAGGCTTCTGATACTGCATGCTCATGTGCCCACCAGGCATCATGCTGCCATCCTTGTCCCACGGACTCTGCGTGACGGGGCTGTTCACAAACCCACAGGCAATGCTTCATCGGATTCACCTCCCTGCACCAGACATGTGACCATGGGCAGGTCAGAGGAACTTGGTGCTCTGAGTGTCCAGAACAGGGGGCTAGGGGTGGCACCTCACACCAGGAGGAAAGGCTAAAGGAGGACATGAGGAACCAGCACTATACGGCATTACACCACGTGTCGGCACTGACACACTGTCATGAAGCCCGCAATCACAGTTTGAGGGCTAAGGTTGTGGGAACGCCCGCAGTGGTGGCTGTTTTGGGGCTTACTGACCAGTCCACAGTGACTTCTGGAGGGGACACCCCTCAGAACTAGTCTTGGCCTGCACAGTCACCGGTGGCCGGAAGGCCCTGAATGTAATAAAGTCACACGTTGCGGAAGAGGCTGAAGAGCAGAACCGTCCGGGCTGCACCCAGTACCCGCAGTGCCCGACAGCCAGCTGTTGCCGGCACTCACCTCGATGCGCTCTTTTCCTCCCTTTAGAAAAATTATTTTACCAATTTGAAAGAATTACTTAAGAAAGGGGGAATGGCTTGTGCTTTCCTGCTCACTTTCCAAGTGTTTAGGGTAAACTTACTGTGAGTGGGGTTCTGTGGAGGGAGGGAGGGAGGGAGTAAAAGCTTACATCTGTCGCACAGGCCGTGACCAGAGCTGGGAACATAAGTCTGGTCCCAGGTCTGCAGGAAGCAGTTCCAGGCAGAAAGCCAGTGAGAGCCCCACCTTCCCAGCCAGCGTCCTTCACTGTTATTTAACAGACAGGGGGACTTTCTCTTGAAGAACTTTGGGAACAGCCGGTGAGACGCTGAGTGACAGGAGAACCCGGGCCAGGGTGGAGAACACCGCTTCAACTGGGATGCCCCTTGTCTCCCTCCACCAGCGCCTACCCCATGCGAGCCCTGAGCACCAGGGAGCACAGTGGTGGGTGGTGGATATACCCTCAGCCCCCAGGAGCAAGCCCACCAAGGGAGCACTGCTCTGCCCAAGTTCACACTGGGGCCGGGGGGGCAGCCCATGTCCTGTAACCAGTCAGCACGGTAACACTAAGGCCTGGCTGCCTGCCCCCCAAAACCAAGGCTGAGACCATCCCAGTGAGTGTTTGGCACAAACACCTCCATCAGAAGCTAAATCTGGGCACTCGGCCAGGGTGACAGGCATGGGTGACAGACCCATGGTCCTCAGTGGGGACGCAGAAGTCACTCAGATTTCCGTCTTCCACCTGAGGAGCATGGGTAGTGCCTCTCCAAGAAGATGGCCACCATGAGGTCACAGCCCTGAGCTGAGAGGAGGAGGAGCCATGGGCAGCGCCCGCTCCTGCAAAGCCCCAACCCCACAAGCGCACACACCTGCTGGGCGCAGCTCTGTACCTGGCGGTTCCCGCACCTGGCGGACAGGAAAGACCTGTGCACATTCCCCTCTCAGGCACATCCCCCTTTTCCTTCCTCCCCTCAACCTGGACAGTAAGAGAGTGGGAGATGGAATTGAGGAACGGGTGAGAGCCAGGGCCCCCGGAAAAGCAGACTCTGACCCACGACCTGCAGTGACTAGCCGGGAAGTCCACCTACTGCGTCTGGATCCCAGTGCGTGGAGCACACTTCTAGCAAAACAGGGAGGAGACAAACACTAAGGAAAAGTGCATCTAAGAGTTGTGTTTATCTTGGGATCACAGTTAATGTTGAAAACAGAAGATGTGGCGTTACCCAACACAGCAGCTGCTCAACTATAACACCCAGCCACCCTGGGCTCTCCACACTTACCTCGCTGGCACCACTCGTGCTGCGGGGCCTCTGCTCTTCAGGCTCAGACACCTCCAGGTGAGAAAAGGCCCTCTCGCTCCTGCCCTCGCTCCTGCCCTCAGAGCTGCCCTGTCCACTCAGGCTCTCCTCCAGCCGGCTGAGACACCCCAGGTCTGCAGGCCCCTGGAATCTCCCGCCAGGCGTCCTTCGCTTTCTGTACTTTTCGGGAGCAGGCAAAGGATTGGACACAGTTTGTGTTGACAAACTTGACTTCTGAGAAGAGAACACAGAGTTCTCAATGTCTGTGGAGTCTGTAAAGGAGGGGGAAACACAGCCCTCATTAGACCAAGTTTTCTGGGCATAGTGACCAGTACAATTATTTAAAAAGGGTGTGCATGGGCATGCCAGTGTATGTGTGTACATACATATGGAAAATCCATCAACGTGACAAGACTGAATAACTTTAACAAATCAATCAACAAATTATTATGTTTTCTTGACAAAATTATGTAGAGCAAAGATGTCAAGTGATTAAAAACTTAAAATTTGGAAATTAGAGAGGACTCAACAAATTGTTCCTATAGAGATTCCGTTAATGCCGTCAGTACCTGGGACCCTCCCTCTGCCAGGGGACCCAGGCACACATCTGCCAAGCAGCTTCCCCGCCAGCAGTGCTCCAGCACCAGGAGGAGGCAGAGGCCACGCATGGGCACATTGCACCCTTCTCCTGTGGACCAGGGCCCTTGGAAGGCAGGCTCTCCCTGTGCCCTCAGGGCCTGGCCCTCCCTGCTCTCCTCTCGAAGCTCCTCAGCCCTGAGTCCTGGGACCCTCCTCCACCCGAACTCTGAACACCTTGCCTGGTTCCCCATGCCCCAGGCTCAGGTCGGCCTCACGAGGCTGCCCTCGCACCCAGGCCTCTCTGGGTCTCCTCTGCATTCCCGCACTGCATTGACGTCTACATGCTCCTCAGGCTCGCTATGAGCAGAGCCAGGCCTGGCCCTCCCCAGCAAATCTGAGCACCCTGTGCTCACGACCCGAGTAGACAATACCAGTCACCTGGCTGCTCGGATCGGAGAACACCTGGACATGCTCCTCCCTCACTCAGCTCTATGCCTGTCACCAAACTTCACCACTTCTGCCTCTTAGTGGAACTCTTGCTGGGCCCACAGACGAACCCTTCCATCTGCTCTCCTTGACCCCGTTGGTCACTCCATGCCACCCACTCCTACCCCTGGGGACAGACACAGACCATGCACTGCTGCACCGCCTCACCTTGACCTGTGACCTGTGTTCTTCTTTCTCCCAACTCTGGCCCCAAAGCCCAGTAGGAGCCTACCACCCAAAAGACTCAGCTGAGTCTGGCCACCAGGGACCAGCAGAGCAGACCACACTGGGAGTTACCCCATGAAAGTAGAGTCTGAACGCTTTAAAACCCTCAAGCGTACAGAAGACGGAAAGATCAACAAATCGTTCCTGGTCACAGGAGTCTGATGAGCCACAACAATTAGATGTGCTGTGTGCACCTGGACAGGATCCTTGACCACAAAGGAAATGGTGCTGTTGGAACATTTGGTGAAATGTGATTAGGCTCTGTCTGTGACAAAGTTCACTTCCTATTCTGGAGAGTAGAATGCTATTCAGGAGAATGTCCTTGCTTTTAGGAAACCACGCTGGAATGTTTAGGAGTGCCAGGACACCCCACTCCAAGGTGCCAAAAAGAACAATGACAAAGACTATGTTCATACATATATAGACATACATGTATGTATACACACACAAACATACACATATGCACATGTGTGCACATATACACATATACCCACATAAAGACATATGCACGAACATAGGGCGGGGAGCAAGGGTACAACAGAGCAAATGTGGTCAATGCCAACTTTGGGGGGGGTCTGGATGAAGCAGATATGACACTTCCTTGTTCTGCTGTTGCAGCCTTTCTGTGTTCACTCTGTCTGGGAATTCACAGCGACTATAGGTCAATAAAGAGGTCCAAACATCGAGCACATGAGCCTTTGTGAACAGACGAGAAATGATGAATTCTGACAGTCGATGGAAACAGGGGTCCTATGCACCCACACACCAGGGCATCATTATGAAGTCTCACGATACAGGGTAAAAGCAATCAGGACGACCAAAGCGGAGGATGTAAAAGGTGCGCGTGTGATCTGGCCCCAACACCGCCCCCTGCAGCAGCCACAGGCAACCTGGGCAGGCCATCGCCACAACCCACCGCTATAACCCACCGCTATGGCAGGGGCCCCATGAACTCGCCCAAGCCATATGCACACACAACACTCTCGATTAACTTATTAATTATTCTCCTGTTTAATTTTTAAAAACAGCTATTGTCCTGGGCCCATGTATTTACAAGAAAATGTGTGTGTGCAAGTGAGAAAGAGGGAAAGGGAGGAAAAAAGTCTGTGTGCGCATGTGTGGAGAGAAAAACCACGAAGCGCTCATAAACTAGGAATCTAAAATAGGGACGTATTCTAAATTTCAGTGTACAAGTTTCTTTCCTAAGACATTTTAGAGTTCCACAAACAAATAAACATAATAAAGAGAAGAGGAGAAATATCATAGTAAACAGCAAACATGATGCAAAATATTTACAGGCTTCAGGAGTCAGTGGCCGTTGGGTGAGATTACCTGGGTGCAGGGGCAAGCGCGCGTGCGGCCTGAAGGAGCGGCAGGCCTCGGGCTGCTCTCCCAGCTGCGGCGGGAGCTCTCCACAGAACGGGCTCTGAGGCCTCCTCTCTGCACAACACCCTCTGGGGCCGCTTTTTCTCTTCTCATGGCCCTTCTTTATGGAGTCTCCACACTGGTGCTGCACCGAGTGAGGACTCAATAGATGTCTGGATTCTATTTTATGAAAGAACATATAAAATGTTTCAGTTCATTTAAGTGTGTCTGGCAGTGTATTATTATTTATTAATTATATCAATTAAATAAGTAGGTTAATCAAAACCTGAGGTACATTTACACAATGGAATACTACACAGCAGAAAGGAGCTCCTACCCTTCACAACAGCATGGATGGAACTGGAGAATATTATGCCAAGTGAAATAAGCCAAGCAGTAAAAGACAAATGCCATATGATCTCACCCACAAGTGGAACCTAATCAACAAAACAAACAAGCAAGCAAAATATAACCAGAGACATTGAAATAAAGAACAAACTGACAGTAACCAGAGGGGAGGGGGGAGGGGGATAACAGGAGAAAGAAGGGGAAGTGCCGTCAAGGAACATGTGTAAAGGACCCGTGGACTAAGCCAAAGGGGGACAGGCTTGAGGGCGGGAGGTGGGGGTGGGTGAGGCGGGGGAGAGTACTGGGGGGAAATGGAGACAGCTCTACTTGAACAACAATAAAAAAGAAATAATGTAATCACCAAACGCGTGGTGAGTCTAGCAGTCATGCAAACACGTACAGGACTGACGCTGACCGATGCACCACTCACTACACAGTCGAGGAGTCAAGACAGTGTGGTGTCAGAACAAAGTCCGACCTGATGACAGATAAAACAGAATCCAGAACCCAGAGAGATTGAGGTCAGCTGAATTAACCAACTTGCTAAAGTTATTAGTGAGAAAAAAAAGACAATGTTTTCAACAAATGGCATCAGCACAACTGGGTATGTGGGGTGGGGGTGGGAGGGAGACAACCTGACCATCTCACACTACGCTTGCAAATCCACTGAGAGTGAACCACAGACCTGAACACTGGAACCACAGTGTGTCTACACATCCACAGGAGAAAATTTTCACGAGCATGGGGCAGACAAAGATTTTTTCACAGGATGTAGAAAAAGCACAAATCATATAAATAAAAAACTGATAAAGTGGACTGCATTGAAATTAAAACTTCTGCTCTTCAAAGAACCATTAAGAAAACAAAAGGCAAACAGAATGGGAGAAAATTTGCAGTGCCTACATCTGAGAAAGGGTTGTAGTAAAAAACCAAAAAGAACTCTCATGACTTAATACCAAGATGAGAAAAAGGGAGAGGAACAGACTTGAGTGGAAACCTCACGGAAGAGGATATAAGAATGGCCCATAATAAAATACTAATACATACCAGAAGCACAGCCAGAATAAAAAAGACTGACAACACCAAGAGTTGGCGAGGACAAAGAAAGGGCAGAGGTCCTCCTGCCAGCAGTGAACCCTGGGATTTCAGCCCAAACTTACATCTCAGCCTGTTGTCATCTTCATGAAAAGCTCTCAGAAAACTCATAATGGAAGAAGAAATGGTGCTAAAGCTTATACACAAGTCCTAATGGAAAACAGAGTCCCTGGCAAAGTAGTGGAGTTTATGCAGGCACCCTAAAGACTTCACAATGACCTTGTTGGGTTAAAAGTTCCAACATGGCAGCCCGAGCTCTAAGTGATCCCCAAAGCTAAGTGAACGCTGCTCATGGCTGACACAAACATTAGTTCTGCTGGCCACAGGACACAGTACCTTCTCGTCCGCTTGGACATTTTACTCCCTCCCTATAAAATGATCTGAGGAAGAATACAAATTAGATCACCATGCAGTATGACTACACTCAACTTAAATACATAACTTTTTCTTTTATAATTCTATAATCCAAATTACTGATATTTACAGGTACATAAGACTTCACGAAGATTCTATATTTAAAGGTAAGTTTTCTAAAAAGCACAATCATGCCTAGAGCACACTGGACCTGCTGGGTCTTCGGGTGGGGCAGCAGTGTACCTTGGGAACTGCAGAAGTCATCCTCTTGCTCCTTCTGGCTAGAGCTTGTACTCCTAGGAGGGTTGCTCAAGTCCCACTCACACTCGGCAATGAGGTTCAGGACCGCCTCGTCATCAGCATCCATGACCAAGCACTTCTTGGCAGAGGGGTCAGTGCACTTAGCTCTGGAGTGGTTCGGTCTGCAAAGAAAAGCCAGCTCAGTGCTGCCATTCCAACCAGGGCACAATCCAGCCCACACAGACCCCGCGAGGGGACTGCACAGGGCTCTTGGGAGGAGCAGTTGGTGCAAGTGTAGGAAATGGCTCTTGTGCCTCTACTGAAGTAAGGTCCAGGAGGGACTCAGCAGGACAACTGGCGATGGAAAGCAAGGGCCTGTGATGTTGGCACACCATCCAGCAGGTTTGCAGAACCCGACTAGGGACTAGGGTTTGTTCAAGAGTGAAAATTTAGGAAGCTCCTCTTTTCCTAACATATCACAGTGCAATAGGTGTAACCAAGAAATTTAGAGGATATGGTGTTCCAAATTTCTATTTTTACATGAAGTGACTAAAATATGAGGTGTCTTAGAAGATGACCTCCCTCCCAACGGTGACCCTCCATAAGAAGGTGAGTGTCCTCAAAGGGGACCTTATTTCCCAAAAGGCAGCTTAAGAAATCACTTTCCAAAATAATCCTCAATCATACACTATGAATATTGATTTTATGACAACTGATCATACATGAAAAAAAGGTCAATAACATTCACTATTTTCTATTTTTGAAAGTTTCCCAGATCCCTGCAGAAAGCAAGGCACTTGAGTTCTCTTCCTGAGTCTGTCCACAGAAACCCAGTATTTGGCACATTTCAGCCTCTTTGGGCCTCGACTGCCACTTCTGAATAATAAGGAGGTTGCACCAAATCACCTGTTAGACTCTTTGACCTCTAAACTCTGATAATTCAGTCTTAAGATTATCAAGGGCAGGGACACTACAGAACATTGCTAAAGAAGTTTAAAAAGACATAAATAAATTGAAACACATCCCAAGTTCATGGACTGGAAGACACAACATCGTTAAAAAGTCAATCTACAAGTGATCTACAGAATCAGTGCAATCCCTATCAAAATCCCAATAATGTTTTTGTGGAAATGAACCCACCCTGAAATACACTTGGAATCTCTGGGGACTCCAAATAGCTAAAACAATCTTGAAAAAGAAGAGAAAGCATTAGAAGCAGACACAGATACAGCAGAAATGCTAAAATTATCAGACCAGGATTTAAAACAACTATGAGTAATAATGCTAAGGGCTTCAATGGAAAAAGTAGATGCTACACAAGGACAGATGGGAAAGATGGAAATCCTAAGAGTCAAAAAGAAATACTAGAGATCAAAACTCAGTAACAGAAGTGAAGAAAGCCTCTGATGGGCTAATTAGTAGACTGAACATGCCAGAGGAAAGAATCTCTGAGCTTGAGGATATATATATATATATATCTCAACAGAAACTTTCAAAGCTAAAATGCAAAGAGAAAAAAAGACTGATCCTTCCACCCCGAATACTCAAGAATTGTGGGACACATAAAGAGAAAACCAGACAGAGAAGAGAAAAAAAAACTACCAACTTAGAATTTGGTATCCTGCAAAATTATCCTTCAAAAATAGAGGAGAAATAAAGACTTTCTCAGATAAACAAAAATTGAGGGACTCTGTTACCAGTAGACCTGCCTTGTAAGAAATGTTAAATTTTTGAGAGAGACGGAGAATAAGTCAGAACTCAGACCTACATAAAGAAAGGAAAAGCATTAGAGGAGAAATTAGTGAAGGTAAAATAAAACTTATTTTCCTTATTCTTTTTTAAGTTGTTAAAATATGTTTATTTATTTTGGGGTAGGGGAGAAAGAGAGAGGAGCACTAATGTGAGAGAGAAATATCTATTGGTTGCCTTCCACATGCGCCCCAACCAGGGACTGAACCTGCAAACTAGGTATGTGCCCTGATAAAGAATTGAACCCACAACGCTGTGGTGTGTGGGACAATGTGCCAACCGAGCCACACCAACACGGGCTTATAATTCTCATTCTTACTTTATCTAATAGTTTGTTTGAAATAATAGCAACAATGTATTCAATTATGTATGCTCATGAATGTATACATACACCATGTGTATATGTATGTATATATAAAATATATATGCTATGTATAAGGGAAATGAATGATAGCAATGATAAAAGGACAGGAAGGAAGAATTAGGAGCATTTAAAGTACTTGCACTGTCTGTGAAGCAGTACAGTGTTCTGTGAAAGTGGACTTGGATTGGTTGTAAATGTGTAGTGCACATTCTAGGATAACCACTAAAAAAAGTGAAAATATAAGCGTAACTGATATGCTAATAAAGGAAAGAAAATGGAATCATATAAAATGCTCATTAAAAACCATAAAAGAACAAAGAAAGAACAGAAGACAAGTATAGGAACAAGGACCAAGGGCAATGAGTAGAAAATACTGTGGATATTAATCCAACTGTATCAATAATCACTTTTAACATCAATGGTATAAATACACCAATTAAAAGACATAAGATTGTTAGAATGGATCAAAAAACAAGTCAGAATTATACTCTGTTTACAAGAAACCCACTTTAACTATAAAGACATATATGGATTAAAAGTAAAGGGATAGAGAAAAATATACCAGACTGACACTAATCAAAAGAAAGCTGAAGTAGTTATATTAATTTCAGACACAGCATACTCTAAGGCAAGGAACGTTATCAGGGATAGAAGGGATTCACATAATGATAAAGGAATCAGTTCTCTAAGAAGATATAACAATCTTTAATGTGCATGTTCCTAACAACATCGTCATACTAAATGTGACAAAAACAGATAGAACTACAAGGAGAAAGAGATGAATCCACTATCATAGTTGGAGATCTCAGCACCCCTTATCAGAAGTGAACAAACAGATCAATAAGGCAAACAAATCAAGCAGGGAAACAAATCAATAAGGACAGAGCTGAACCCAACACCACTAATCATTTGGATAGAATTGACATCTATAGGCTACTTCACCCACAACAGGAGAATACAGATTCTCATGTTCACAGGGAACATATACCAAGACAGACCACATTCTGGGCCATAAAAACAGATGTTTACACATTTAAAGAATAGAAATCATACAACATCTGCTCTCATACTACAGTGGAATTAAACTAGTAATCATTAACAGAAATATAAATGGGAAATCCCAAAATACTTGAAGATTAAACAACTTATTTCTAAATAACATATGGGTTAAAGGAGAAATCTCAAGAGGAATTTTAAAATATTTTGAACTAAATAAAAAAGAAAACACATCTTATCAAAAATTGTGGGATGCCATGAAAGCAGTGCTTGGGGGGAATTTATAGCATTAAATGCACATATCAGGGGAAAAAAATCAATAATCCAAGCTTCCCCTTTGGACACTAAAAAAAGAACAAATTAAATCCACAGTAAGCAAAAGAGAATAAATAATAAAAATTAGAGCAGAAATCAATGAAAATGAAATCAGGAAATCAATAGAGAAAAAAAGAAATCAACATATTTGAAAGCTAGTTCTTTAAAAAGATCAATAAAATTGAAAATATCTATGCCAGGTTAACTAAGAAAAAAAGACACTATTTACTAACACCGACATGAAAGAGGAGAAAGCACTACAGATCCCATGAACATTAATATAAAGAAATACTATGAACAACTCTATGCCCACAAATTTCATAACCTAAATGAAATGGCTGATTTCCTGGAAAGACACAATCTACCAAAACTCATACAAAGAGAAATGAATAATCTGAATAGACATATATTTATTAAAAGACATTAAATCAATAATTAATAGTCTTCCAAAACACCACGTCCTGACAGGTTCACTGGGGAATCCTACCAAACACTTAAAGAACAAATTATACCAATTCCCTACAATCTCTTGCAGAAGACAGACGCAGAGGGAACACTTTCTTACTCATTCTACGAGACCAGCATTACCTATCATCACAGCCAGCAAAGGTAATAGAAGAAAACTGTATCTCTCATGAACACAGATACAAAAATCCTCAACAAAATACCAATAAACTGAATCCAACAATGTATAAAAAAAATTATACACCAGGACCAAGTGGGATTTATTCCAGGTATGTAAGCCTGGTTCAACATTTGAAAACCAATTAATGCAATAATTTAAGCTAAAAAAGAAACATTATATGATATCAATAGATGCAGAAAAAGCATTTGACAAAATCCAACCTCCATTCATGATATAAATGGTCAGAAAACTAGGAATAGAGGGTAACTTCCTCCACTTTATTAAAAAAAAATGTATAAAAACCTACCACTAATATCACACCTGGTGGTGAGAAACAAGATACTTTTCTGCTAAGATCAGGAACAAGGCAAGGGTGTCCCGTCTCACCACTTCTTTTCAGCTTCATACTGGAAGTCCCAACTAATGCAATAAGACCAAAAAACGAAATAAGAGGTATACAGATTGGGAAGAAAAAAGAAATCAAATTGTCTTTTTTAACAGATGACATGATCATCCATATAAAAAAATCCCAAAGAATCAACCGAAGTAAACAAAACAAAACAAACCTCCTGTTACTAGTAAGTGATTACACCAAGGTTACAAAATACAAGATATTATGTCACATTCTGTCCCCCTCCAAAAGAAATGCTTAAGTCCCAATACCCTGTGCCTTATTGGAAAGAGAGCCTTTACAGATGTAATCACCTTAAGAACAGGTATTAGGGTAGGCTCCACTCCAATATGACTAGTATCCTTATAAAAAAGGGCAATTTGGACAAAGAAACAAACATGCACAAAGGAAAGATTCTGTGAAAAAACAGAGAGAAGATGGCCATACAAAGTCACAGGGTTAAGAAAGGCATCTATACACCGTCGACACTGAAGATTGCCAGCAAACTACCAGAATCAAGAAGAGTCATGGAATAGAGTCTCCCTCACAGCCTCCAGAGAAAATCAACCCTGCTAATACCTTGATTCCAGACTTCTATCCTTAAGAACTGTGAGACAATACAGTTCTGTTATTTTAAGCCACCTAGTTTGTGGTACTTTGTTACGTCAACTCTAGGAAACTAAAAACAAGGTTAGCACACATTATTCATATACCAGAAATGAATAATAGTTTAAAGTTAAAAAACAGTATTGCATTTACATAACACCAAAAAAATGACATACTAAGGTATAAATCTAACAAAGTGTGTATAAAATCTATATGAGAAAAACTACCTCTGATAAAAATCAAAGAACTCAATGAATGGAAAGACAGTCCATGTTCATAGATAGGAAAACTCAATACTGTCAAGATGTCAGTTCTTCCCAACTTTATCTGTAGATTCAATGCAATCCCTATCAAAATCCCAACAAGGTGCTTTGGGGATATTGATGAACTGATTATAAAGTTTATATAGAGAGGCAACTGACCTTGAATTGGCAACTCAATATTGAAAGAGAGGAACAAAGTTGGAGCACTTACACCAGCTAACTCATTAACTCAGAGCAAAGAACTAGGAAGCTCTGTGAGGTGTCTTTTATAAGAGCACCAGTCTCCTTCACGAAGGCTCCACCTTTCACGACCTAGTCACCGCCCAAAAGCTCTGTCTTCTAATACTATCATCTTTGGGAGGTAGGATTCAGCATATGAATTTGGGGTCGGGGAGGCACAAACATTCAGGTCATTGTACAAGGTACCAAGTGCAGTTGTCTAAAGCACTGAGTCTGTTCATAATAGGGAACTGAGGGAATGGGGGGCTACAGGGGAGACATCTGAGGGGAAAGGTGATCTCAAGGATTTGGATCCTAAGACATTAGATCAGAAGCTGGTAAAGCATAGGCTACAGGTCAAACTGGCCCACTGCCTGTATTTTAAAATAAAGTTTTATTGGAACACAATTATTCCTTTAAGTATTGCCTATGGCTGATTTCATGCAACACAGGCAGAGCCTAGAAATTGGGGCTGAGATCATACAGTCCACAGAGCTAAAAATATTCACTCTCCAGCCCTTTACAAAAAAAAGTTGACCAACCTCTTCATTAGAGGAATTTATAAATAAGCTAAGGCTATAATGAAAGAAAGGGAAAACTACTAAAAGCTTCAGACAAAACAAAATGGTATACAAGAAAGAGCACCTAATCCTAGCACACTACAAGAAATGTAAACTGTTGACTGATTTTGCCTCTAGAATCAACCCATACACAAACTATGAAGACTCTCTATGGCGCAGAACATTTAAACACTACCGGCCCTGGTGGTCTAAAGAGAAACACAAAAAGGCAGATGGCGGGAATGGGGAGGCCCAGACGGGCACGTACTCCCACCGCCCCACCAGAGCAGAGCCTGCAGCACGGGCCGCAGGACACTGCGCAGAGAATACAGGAGGGAGGGCACAGTCCACAAACTGTCACCACAGCATTTGGAAGGGGCGACGGTGGCTGTGAGATACTGCTTCAAGTGTGCACACCCAAAAATGGCAACTAGTTTGTATCGTCTACAGATGAGCAGGCAACTTAAACAGAGCCTGGCAGCAGAGACAATCACAGAACTGAAAGAAAGTAGCCGCTCTGAGCAGTTGGCTGGGCAGTGGGGAGAGGGGACTATTGTTTCATCACATTCTACACTATTTATTTTATATGTAGTACTTTAACAAACACTTTAATATTAAAAAAATAATTTGTAGAAAATGTGGACCACGGAGAGACTCCATCCCACTGCCTCCTTGAGCCCCAGCTGGGATCTGGGTGTCTTTCCTTCTCGCTTTTACGGCATGTCTGCTTTTTAAGTGGTGATCAGTGCACAAAAACATTGATGTCTTTCAGTTAATACAGAGCTTTATATCTTTTAGTTAAACATTCTATGAGCAGACAAGCCTGAGCATCTTCTTTCCACAAACACCGCTCGTGTTCATACCTTCCAACTCTGCAAACAGCTGGGAAGCTGTGTGTGGAGTCCAGTGATTCCTCTGAAGCAAAATGCAGCTGCGATGCTTTCCGCTCGCTCTCTCTCACAGGACGGTCATCTAGGGAGAAAATGCCACCGAGAAACTAGCCGATGACACCATGAAGCAGGTGCTCCTTCCGGCACCCTGTCCACACCCTGCAGCATACTACACACAAGCAGGGTTGCCACCACTTGTTCCAGACCTTCTGTCCCCTCTGGACGGACCCTGCATTAGCACTGAACAGACCCAATAAAGGGATGCTGGGCTTTGATGGCTACACTTGGTTTCTCAGAGACACTGAGTGCTGATTCCAAAAGAGCCACCCTGCTCCCACAAAGCTCACTCCTCAGACACTGCTTTGGAGGCAGGCTGCTGCTGCAGGAAAAGAAATACACATACAAGTTCCCACACAGGACTCCCTTCTTCTTCTTCTTTTTTAATCCTCATCTGAGGATATATTTGATTTTAGAGAGAGAGGAAGGGAGAGAGAAAAAGGGAAAAACATGGATGTGAGAGAAAAACATCAATCAGTTGTCTCCCATACATGCCTCGACTGGGAATCAAAACACAGCCTAGATATGTGCCCTGACCAGGGATCAAACCTGAAAACTTCTGGTGTATGGGATGATGCTCCAACCAACTGAGCTACCCAGTCAGGGCTGGGCTTCCTTCTTTTGATGTACATTGTTGGTGGTGCATGTGGTTCTCAAAACACACTAAACATACCTGAGAATCTCCATGGGTGAAAATCCTGAACATGCTCAAGAGAGAAGACATCCTGGCCGTGTGTTTATGCCTAGCCTTTGCGTCCTCAGATCCTCAGGACTGGGAAATAGATAAGTATAAACTGCTCTCTGGTGCCCCGGACCTCGGAGGTCTCTACTAAACAACTTCCAGACTCCCCTCAGGAAACACTGAAGACGAGTGATTCAAATGCTAACAGTACTGTGGAATGTGCAACATATTTGAGCACAGAATTAACATTACAAATGGTGCTTAAGTTCCTAAGCTGCCTTCCAAAAAGCATTTAACCTGTAGTACAACCCAAAAAGTACACAATTATCATTAAGAAATGGGTAAATGAGTCCTGGCTGGTGTGGCTCAGTGGATTGGGTGCCCATGAACCAAAAGGTCGCCAGTTTGATTCCCAGTCCAGGACACATGCCTGGGCTGTGGCCCAGTTCTCTAGTACAAGGGCACACAAGAGGCAACCACACAATGATGTATCGTTCTCCCTATTTCTCCCTCCCTTTCCCTCTCTAAAAAATAAATAAAATCTTTTAAAAAAAAAAAGAATGAGTCACTTTCAAAGCAGAAAAACAAAGGAACCCTGAAAACCATCCTGAAGTGTACCTGCACACTGGGGCTACTCCTTGAGACCCAATCCTGTTGCTGTCCTGTCCTCAGTGACCTCCGCACTCTTTTCCCATCCTCGAGACACAGTCTGGGACCTCCTGGTCTCTGATCCTCCCACATTCCCCAAACATGGCACCTGCTCTCATGGTGTGGACACTCCCCGTGCTCGTAACATACAACTCTACTCGCTGAGCCTTCACTTCTTTTTTTAATCCTCACCCAAGGACATTTTTTCACTGCTTTTTAGAGAGAGGAAGGGAGAGAGAGAAATAGCCATGTGAGAGAAAAACATTGACTGATTGCGTCCCACCCTGACCTGAGATCACATGTGCCCAGATCGTGAATGGAACCCACAAACTAGGTATGTATCCTTACCAGGAATCAAACCTGCAGCCTTCAATTACGGGATAATGTTCTAACCAAGCTGCACAGGCCAGGGCTGAGCTTTAACTTCACTCTTGAGTCAGTTCCAAATCCCCTATTCTAAGACTATTTCTCTGGACTATTCCACTATACATTCAAACTCAATATGGCTAAAACCATATGCAAATTCATTCTCCCCTAAACTACACTCTGTCCTTATTACCAAACAAAGTGGGATTCGGCCACCTGCTGCCACACACAAGCATAACACAATAATTGGTGGGGAAAGAAGAAGGTTTTTATTAACAGGCTGCCCAATTTGAGGGAGCAGTGGACTCCCCTGCTTCAAACCATTCTCTTCTGCAAAACACAGAAATCCGCTTGTTCCCTAAAAGACTAAAATCCAAACCCATGCCCAGAGACACCTCCCCCCATTCTTATCTGTCCTTTTGGAGTCCAAGGCTGTTATGCAAACAGGTCTACACCTCTCCAGCCCCAGGCGCTCTCTCTTTCTGGAGCGCAGGCTTGTGGAGTCGGCATCTCCATCGCCTCACCGCAGCCTCCTCCCTCTCCCGGGGGCCGGGGCGCCTGCCAGACCACTGCAGCTGGTCATGCGAGGCGCTTCGTCCACGGGCCCCGGTGTCCAAGGCTGCTTGTGCTCCCAGGGCTGGCAGATGTTCCTGGACCGTGCACCTGAGCACTGCTCTCAGAGCAAGAGATTGGGAGCTGTCTGGGACCCGTGTCATGTGGTGCAGGGCCACAGTGTCCTGGATGGGACTCAGCCTCCACGAGCTGGTTCCCAACCGTTCGAAGGGAACGCAAAACCAGTCAAGCCTCTCTGCAACCTCCATTTAAAACCCTTCCCCTCAAATCCTACATGCTGTGGGAAGGTCCAAATTCCCAGCCAATTCAAGCTAACGTCTACCACGTACGTCAGCCTGCAGTGTCTCTGCCCCTCCTTCTGCCACCATGATCCAGAAGTGGGTAGAAGGGGTTCTAACCAGGCACAGGGGAACAGCGTCTCTGCCCAGGGTGGGGCATCACCATGTTCACCGTACACGTGTGTTGTTACCTTTTCAGCCCATGCAGGCTCTGTGCAAGCTGTGCCACGAGCCACCCTTGTTGTTTACCTTTCCCTGGGGTATGGAATCCTGTCAGGTGTTTTTGCTCGTGATTTCAATCCGCCACCTTCAGCTCCTCCAGACCACTCTTGGGTGTCCCTCCCCTCTGCCCAGATGTCTCTGTTACATCCTGACTTTGCAACGTTCTCCCAGACCTCACAATCCCTACACCCATATATGTTTGCTCTGCTCCTGGACCCCACTTCTATGCCACAGCCCCTCCATGTCGCCCTTGACGCCCCACTGCTGTTCTCCGTCCCGCTCCTCAAGCCTTTAGTTATTCACTTGGAATAAATGACTGAGCCGCTGATCTGACCCCACACTCTGCTAGACAGAGTGGGCCCGGAGTCCTGCAATGACTTTGACTTTCAATTATGTTCCTTTTTTGTGTCTGGAAATATCTTTCCCATGTGGAAAGACTCTCATACCCCTTCTCTATAGAAACATGGTAAGATCCTGAACCTCAAATTTTTATGACAAAGGAAAAGTAATGATTTAAGACAGAAAATTGCAAGAAATTTCCCATGATAAGGATTGCAATGCTTCTGAAAAAGAACCAAATTCAACTATTTATAAGTTACTTACAGTCAAAAGTTAGAACAGAACTACTTATTCCTCCCAAATGTCTAAAAATTAAAATAAAACATTGAAATTTAAGTAGGTTTGACTGAACAGTATGCCGTTGGGGGTCGTTCATTAACACCCACAGCCCACCCCTGCCCCCAGGCCCGGGCAGCGGCGTGGGGGCTGGCGGGTAAGCTGGCACGCACGTGCAGCTGAGATGTGCCTAAGTCCACTCCCGGCGCGCTGCCTGCGGCTCAGCGTTTGCCACGTGGACAGTGGTAGAACAATGTCTTCCCTGACAAATGCTGCCCTGATGTGGGTCTGGCTTTGGTTTTGTTAGGTCAGGACCCAGGAGACGGAGATTCTCCAAATGCATCCCCAGCCTTGCCAAGAAGAGAATGGGCCTGCAGACTGAGGACATGCTGTGATCACTGGGGCGCATGACGACACCTTTCAATCAGACATTCCTGCACCATAGCTACCAGCACTTACCACCCCCCTTCACACAGAAGAGCTAAGGGTATGAGCCCCCAAAGGCCTCCCTTCCCTAAGACCTGCATGGTCCATGTGTCCTGGGTTCACGCTCCAGCACCCTCCCCTTGAGGCGCAACGTGAGGGAGCACTGGAAGTGCCACTGGCCAAACTGCTCGCAGCAAAGACATTTCCTGGTAAGTGTGGAGACAGGTGGGAAGGTGCCAATGTGGCTTCCCTGAGCGTGATCCTCCCAACTGGACATGTCTGCCCTGCAAGCTCTGCCTGTGACATTTCTTTTAGGGAACATGGGTTACTAAGCCCAGGTGGTGGCTGTACCCACCAACAGAACAACCTCACACTCTCTTATCCCTGCCACTTGTGGAGGGTGTGGCACAATGAACTTCTAGTCTCTATCTTTCCACATACATGCGAATCCAGTAGAAGCCAGCTGTCTAGCTGAACCTGAGATGATGCCCAGGGTCCATGCACAGAAATAGGGTACCCAGAGTTCAGAAATGTGCCCCAAAACAGCTAGAAAGCGAAGCCAGAATGAGACAGAGCAGTCCCTCCCATGCCTGTGCTCTTGGCCTCCCCAGCAATTATCTGTGGCCATGGGCTCCGTTGTCACCTCCCCAGGGAGCTCTCCTACAAGGCCCATCCTATGACACAGGGACTCATGCCAACAGAGTAGAAAGTAACTTCCCTTTTCAGAAAAATCAGCAGTGTGATCTGTCTGACAGTACCAAACACTAGTCAGGACTCCACCGAGCAAGGGTGTGAGCACATCGTACCAACCTAGCTGCCTGAGCTTCGGGAGCATGTGCACAACGAAGAGGCGGTAATCAGACTCATTCTTCACCACAGGGTTCAGTCGGAAGTCCACGTCCGTGAGCTCCGTCAAGCAATGGAGCCGGAATACTTCTGCGAGTGAGGAAATGCAGTTGTAGTAGAGATTGAGACTTTCCAGTGCAGCCAGGTACTGAATACCCTGTGAATAGGACAAAATGCTAAATGAGCTCATGCTTTATAAACACAGAGTAAAATGGGCCATCAGTACAAACTGATCAACCAACTGAACAAATGCACTAGTAATGAATACATACTGTTTTACAGGTAGAGAATAAAGGTGAAATGCGTTCTCATCTATTGACTTCTGTCCTGCACACAGTGATATGACTGTTTAGGGAAGTTTGCAATGGTCATGACTACTGAGGACAGCTGGTATTTACCGTGTTGTTGGCATGTGCCAAGCTAAGTGATGTACACAACTTTACTCCACTGTACACAACCCTACAGGGTAAGCCTTCTCACTGTTCCCATTTCACAGATTGGAAAAGCAGGCTTGGAGGGGCTGAGAGACGAGCCAGCCCTGGGTGCAGCCTGGACTGAAACTCGCCTCTGAATCTGAGCAGACTCCTGACCCCATGTCAGGGACGCTGAAACTATTGTGTTCCTGCGCAGTGAGGTCCTGCCTTTCTTTCAGGCCAGAACCCCTCTCCATGTAAGCCACTTGCCACTTTCACCTGGGTGACTTCCTACTCACTCACCAGGACCAAGCCGCTGCTGGGCTCGGCCCACTGCAGCAAATCTGCACTTGTGGCCCACGGCCACCCAGAGGCACACTGTCAACAGAGGGGCAGTGCAGGAAATGGATGAAGAAAAACACAGCTGGTAGAGGGATGGAAGAGTGATGGGCACACACACATTAATCTTTTGGGCCTTATTTTATTCCACTAAAGATACAACCGTCTTCATCAGAGAGCATGACTTTTGACTCTCAAATCAGTTTAAAGATGTAATGTGACATATAAGCAACCTAGTACACCGTAAATGCAAGAAAAACAACCCTGCACTTACATCATTGTCATGTGGACAGTATACAAGTACTATAGGCATAATTTACAAAACAGATTTCATTTTTAATTATAAAGGTACTTTCTACTACTGCTATCGATAGCAATAAATTCTCTTTTAAGAAACAAACCTAAAACTTACCTCTAGACTAACCAAGGAATTACGTGAGAGATCTAAAGATTTTAGACCTGTTAAATTCATCAAAGAATTTCCTAGGTGAGTAATCTTTTCTTGGTAGGTTCCAGGAATAGATAGTGACCGAAGTTCAGCTAGGAATAGAAAATCATGAGATATTAACCTTATTTTTAAATTGAAAATAAATTGTCATAAAAGCAAGATATCATAACCTCAAGAACTGCATTTAAAGTTTTAGCTTATGTTCACCTCCAAAATATCTATGAACCCATGCCTGCTCCTCACCCCACTGCCTCTCTGTCTAACACTCTCTGTCGCCAGGAACATCCTGCTGTTTGGGCTCCTGCCCCCACTCCTGGCTGTTCACCCCACTGGCTGTGTAGACTCCATGGGGGATCACTACTTAGTTGACCGGGCCACTCCGTGCCCAATACAAGGAGAGCAGACTACATGCTCTGTGCACTGTACGCTTCTGCATGGCACACCAATAAGTAGCCATTAAATAAATGTCACTTCAAAAATAGGTTTCTGTAATCAAAAAGACAGCTTGAGTCTAAGTACACCAATACTTTCCCAGGAATACTTATGGTTTAAAGCACATCTTCATTAAAGAAAATGGTTTGCAGGTTTCCAGTCCCAGACAAGACAAGGTAGACACATTTCACCCTAATTCTCCCTATTTGTCATCCTAAAAACCCTGGACAACAATAGAGAAAACAAACACCAGACAACTCTGGGGGGCGGGGGGACGACGACAAAAGACAACTATCTAGGGACCTCAAAAAAATGGTCCAAAGATCATACACCATGGATCAAGTGGGATTTATTGCTAGGATTCAAGATTGGTACATATCTGCAAATCAACTAATGTGATAAACCACATAAACAAAATGAAGGATAAAAATCATATGATCATATCAATGGATGCACAAAAAGCATTTGACAAAATTCAACACCTATGAATGATAAAAAACTCTCAGTGGGAATAGGGAATACATATCTCAACATAATAAAGCCCATATATGACAAATCTACAGCTAACAAAGTACTAAATGGGGAAAACACTAAGTGTTTCCCTTAGGATGGAAACAAGATGGGGATGTCCACTTTTACCCCTCTTATTCAACATAGTACTGGATGGAAATCCTAGCCATAGCAATCAGACAAGAAGAAATAAAATCGGAAAGGAAGAAGTAAAATTGTCATCATTTGCAGATGACATGATATTGTATACCAAGAACCCTAAAGATTACACACACACACACACACACACACACACACACACACAAATACTAGAATTGATAAATGAATTCAGTAAAGTAACAGGATAAAAAATAAATACTCAGAAATCAGATGCATTTTTAAAAAAATCCTCAGCTGAGGATATGTTTATTGATTTTAGAGAGAGAAGGAGAGGGAAGGGGAGTGGGGGGGAGAAAGAAAGAGAAACATCTATGTGAGAGAGCAACATCCCATACAGCCTACGTATGTACCCTTACTGAGGATGGAATCCATAACCATCTGGTGTATGGAACAACATCCCAACCAACTGAGCAACCTGGCCAGGGCAGTTGCATTTTTATACACCAATAATGGACAATCAGAAAGGGAAACTAAAAAAGCAATCACATTTACAAATGCATCAAAAAATAGAATAGAATACCTAGGAATAAATTTAACCAAGGAAGTAAAAGATGTGTCCTTGGAAAATTATAAGACACTGAAGACATTGAAGAAGATACAAATAAATGGAAATATGTACTCTGCTCATAGATAGATAGAAAGAATTAACCTCATTAAAATGTCCATACGACCCAAAGTAATCTATAGATTCAATGCAATTCTTATCAAAATACCATGGCATCTTTCACAGAACTAGAACAAATAATCCAAAAATGTATATGGAACCACAAAAAAACCTCAAGAAGCCACATAATCTTGAGAAAGAAGAAAAAAGTTGGAGGTGTCATGCCACCTGTTATCAAACTACACAAGGCCATAGTAATCAAAACAGTATGGTGCTGGCATAAAATCAGGCACACGGATCAATGGAACTGAACAGAGAGCCCAGAAATAAACTCACACCTATATGGCCAATTATTATTTGACAAAGGAGGCAAGAACATACAATGGAATAAAGAGTCTATTCAATAAATGGTGTTGAGAAAATTGGATACAAGCAAAATGAATAAAACTAGACTACCTTCTTACACCATATACAAGAATAAGCTCAAAATGGATTAAAGACTCAATATAAGACTCAAAACCATAAAATTCCTAGAAGAAAACATAGACAGTAAAATCTCTGACATCTGTTAGCAATATATTTTCTGCTGTATCTTTTCAGGCAAGAAATCAAAAGAAAAAATTAACAAATGGGGCTGTATCAAACTAAGATTTTTTTTTTTAAACAAAGGAAACCATCAATAAAGTGAAAAGACGACCTACTGAATGGGAGAACATACTCACCAATGATACATCCAATGAGGGATTAACATCCAAAATTTATAAAGATCTCATATAACTCAACACCAAAAAAAAAACCAAACAATCCAATTTAAAAAATGGGCAGAGTGCTTGATTAGACATTTCTCCAAAGAGGACATACAAATAGCCAAGAGACATATGAAAAGATGTTCAACACCATGAATCATCAGAGAAATGCAAATTAAAGCCATAATGAGATACCCCTCACACCTGTCAGAATGGCTTTCATCAATAAATCAACAAACAATGTTGGCCAGGACGTGGAGAAAAGGGAACCCTTGTGCACTATTGGTGGGAACGCAGATTGGTACAGGCAGTATAGAAAACAGTATGAAGGATCCTCAAAAAATTAAAAATGGAATTGCCTTATGACCCAGTGATTCCACTTCTGGGTATACATCCAAAGAAATCCAAACCTCTAATTTGAAAGAATATATGCACACTGTGTTCATTGCTGCATTATTCACAATAGCCAAGATATGGAAGCAACCCAGGTGCCCATCAATAGACAAGTGTTGAAAAAAGCTGTGGTACATGCAGGGGTTGGCAAAAGTAGGTTTATAGTTGTAAGTAACATTCTTTTGAATTAATAAAGCTATTTTAATAATTATAACCTGCATGTCTTTTTCCATGTGAACAACTGTAACTCTACTTCTGCCCCACTTCTAATATACATAGTGGAATATTACTCAGCCGTAAAAAGAATGAAATCTTAACATCTGTGACAGCATGGACAGATCCAAAGGTTATTGTGCCGAGTGAATTAAGTCAGTCAGAGAAAGACAAATACCATATGATTTCACTTACATGTGGAAACTAAAGAACAAAATAAACAAACAAAACTGAAACAAACTCATAGATACAGAGAACAGACTAATGTTTGCCAGAGGGGAGGGGTTTGAGGGACTCAGTGTAAAAGCTGAAAGGATTGAGTACAAGTTGGTAGTTACAAAACAGTCACAGGATATACAATACAGCATAGGGAATATAGCCAATAATAATGTAATAACTAGGTATGGTGCCAGGTGAGTACTGGAAATATCTAGGGGAGCATTTTGTAGAGCATATGATCACCCGATCACTGTGCTGTACACATGAAACTAATACAAAATACTATTGAATGTAAACTGCAATTTAAAAAAAAAGTGGTCAAGCGATGAAATCCCTAGGTTAGTTTGGGTTTTTTTGTTTGGTCTCCCCTACATCCCAATCTGACTACCAAAGAATCCATCAACTCAGAAATGTCAGTGGAACTGATAAAAAAATAAGGGTAAGCCTGCTGCTTATGGTCAAAGGACCAGGACATGATGTTGCAGAACAGATTCCTGACAACATCAGCCCCATTCCAGCCCAACACCAAAGAGGAAAAAATGCACCTCGTACACCTGGCCTTGCACAGTGTCCACCACAGCGACTGTGAGAGTGGGCCCTGACTTTCGTCCTGGCCTGGCTGCACAGAGGTGGCCTGCAGGCATCTGCAGAGGCCACGTGCGTGACAGGAGCCTAAGCAGCAAGGCAATACACAGTCGGTGCCAGTAATGAAAATGAGATTTAAGCAGAAAGCAGAGTCTCACCACTTAACATCCAAATGTCCAGGACACAATAAAATATTACCAAGAACTAGTAACATCTCAATTTGAATGAGAAAAAAACAGTACACACGAACATTGAGATGACAGAAGTTAGAATTAGCTAACAAAAATTTTAAAACAACTGTTATAAAAATAATTTAGTGAGCAATTGTAAACACTCCTGGAACAAATGAAAAAATAGGAACTCATGGCAAAGAAACACTATCAAAAAGAAACAAAGAGAAATTTCAGAAATGAAAAATAGCTGAAACAAAAAGAAATCACAGGAGTGGCTCAATAACACAAAGGAGATGACAGAGGAAAAATTTCAAAGTGTAAATGCAAAGGTACATTGGCCAAAATTATCCTATCTAAACAAGGAGAACCAGACTTAAAAGGTATTTACCCAGAGAAGGAAAACAACTCACATAGCAGGGAATTACTCTTCAGAAACCAAAGAGGCCTGAAGGAAGCGATGTCACATTTTTCAAGTGACAAAAGAAAGATAATCAAAATGAAAAACTAAAAAATATCCAAATAAACCACAGGAAGGCAGGAGAAGGGAAATCAAACAAAAAACAAAGAAAACAAATAATAAAATGGCACACTGAAGCCGTACTATATTGATAATTACATTAAGTGTAAATGGTCTAAACACTACAAAAGACAGGGATTGACAGTGTATTAAAATGAACGAAATATACACTGCCTACAAGAAACTAATTTCAAATACAACGATATAGGTAGGTTAAAAGATTAAGAAGTAAATAGATGGGGAAAGATAGCCCTGCAAACCAACCAAAGTAAAGCTTGAGTGGCTGCACTAATATCAGATAACGTAAGATGTCTCAACAAAGAAAATCATCAGAGTCAAAAGGACTCTACATATGCTACAGGAGTCTCTCCAACAAAAAGACAAAAATCCTAAATAGTATGCGACAAACAGCACAGCCTCAAAACATGTGAAGTGGAAGGAGAAACGAATTCACAATTACATTGCAATAGTCAGGCCCCCACCTAACCTCCCCCCCCCCAGTCCCACCCCCACATCTCACATCTTCCCCGCCCGGCTCTCCATCCAGCCCTCCACCTCTCACCCTTTCCTTCGCACCGCCCCCACCTCCCCCGGGGGACCCCCACCCCATTATCTCCCAGGCCTCTGATCGTTCGGGACCCGCTTGGTCCGTGTGCCGGTGCTTCTGGCCTGACCCTCTGGCAAGAAGCTCGCGCTCTCAGCCAGGGATCCCTCCCCCGGTCCGACCGGCCGGCCGCCACGCACCCAGGTCGTGGTGAGGCGCCAGGCCGCTCTTCTCCCGGATCTTGTCCTCACACAGCACCAGCAACTGACCCACTGGCGCCATGCTTTCAAACGGCAGTCTCTGAGCCCGCGCCTGCGCAGATTGGCAGCCGAGGGCCGTAGGGGGTAGGCCTAGGGTGGGGTGGTGGCTTGGATCCGGGACCCGGCGGGGGACTCCAAGTGGGCGGGGCGAGGAGCTGGGACCCGGCCGAAGGGGCTGTGCCGAGGACGTAAGGCAGTGGGGAAAATGGCCAGGCCTCTGGGGACAGGCGAGCTGGTTCGGCCGGCCCCCGGCCGCAGGGTTGGGTTGTGTTGCCCCCGGACCTAGGGAGTGGGGTAGCGATCCGGGTCTGCTCTGCTCACGCCGTCCCTGGGATGCTGTCGCTTCCTGGGCGCGGTGCCCTCCCCGGGAAAGACGTTTGCCCCTAGGGACTCCGGTTCACCTGGTGACCGGCTCCACGTGGAGACAAGCCCCGCCTAGTTACCCGCCCCATCTGGGGACACCGCCTTGCCCGCGTCCTGCGCGAAATCCCCGCTCGTGGAGCCGCAATTCTCTCCCTGCCACACTCACTCCGCGGCGGCCAGTCCTCATCCGTCCCCGTTCTCAACTTCCCGGCGATCTCTGGTCTTGCCGGTCGCCCGTCGATCAGAAGTTTCGTTGCCTGTCGGTTCCTCTGGGTCCTTTATGGGGCGTCGTGAGGAGCCCCTAAGATGTGCAGGATTTAGGGAAGACCCCATTCCGGGTCTGAATCTGTCCCACCCAGTTGGTGCCCTGGGTGCCCCTCCCTACCCCTGTCATGGTATCTGGAGTCGCCCCTGCTACTCCTAACCCCAGATTTAACCTGCTTGTTAGTAACCTGCCCTGGCTGGTGGAGGCCTAGAGGGGTGGGTGGGATGTAGGGCGTGTTATGCAGAGTGCCCCATCTCTTTGTGTGCTCCAACCTAGCACACAAGCCTCCTTGGGTACCTGTGCGGAGATTCATTTACTGAGACAGGAGAACTCTCAGTAACACGGGGTCGAGATTGACCTATAACACAGTCGGTCCGGATACTGCTCTACTATCCCCTTCCTACAAAACTGGAGGGATTCTGGCACTTCCCAGGCCAGCTTGTGGGCTACCACACCAGGTTTCTGCTGAGTAGAGCTTTGTGCACCCAGGAGACTTAAAAATAGTGAACACATATCCTTGCTTTTCAGAAGCAAACAAAGGCAGACAAAAGGCTTCTGTGGGTCACAACCCGAAACAAGTAGCTTGTCAGACACAACCCACACTACAAACAGCAGCTGCTTCCTCCTGCCTGCGGTCACTTCAGGTCAGGTGGCCCAGTCTTGGAGGCTGAGCTGTGGAGAACGGACCCCTGCACAAGTCCTGTGGGACAGCACCACACAGTGTTTCTAATGTAACAGCAGTGCCAATAAAAACTTTGAAAATCATGTTTTCTGTTAGTGAAGTATTGCATATTCATTGTAGAAAAGGCAAAAATATCAGAAGAAAACAAAGATTAAATATTTTACCACACAGAGATAACCAGTGTTAACACTTTCACACTTATCCTTCAGGGATGTCTTCCAAGCCTGTGCGTATTTAACAGCGGTGAGAGCATTCTCATAGATACACATTGGGTTCACCAAAAAGTCCTTTTTTTTTCCCCCTACGATGCTCTAGTAGCACTTAGTTATATTTAACTTCATTCGAAACAATTGTGTTAGACTGTATTGTGACAACTGTTGCTTCAGTGTGCATTTAAAAAAACTTATCAAAACTGGTGAATTTTTGTCTAGCCATTTTAATATTGAAGATGGAAGAAAATACACAACATTTTCAGTATATTATGATTTATTATTCCAAGAAAAGTTAAAATACAACCGAAACACGAAAAAAGACTTGTGCAGTGTATAGAGAAGTTGCTGTGACTAACTAAATGCATCAAAAGTGGTTTGCGAAGTTTCATGCTGGAGATTTCTCGCTGGATGATGCTCCATGGTTGGGTAGACCAGTTGAAGTTGATAGCAATCAAATTGAGACATTAATTGAGAACAGTCAGCATTATACAATGTGGGAGATAGCCAACATACTAAAAATATCCAAGTCAATAAAGTTATTGGTGAAAATGAAAAATGTGTCTTTTATTTTACAGAAAAAACTAAATGGACTTTTTGGCAAACCCATTTTTTTTTTCTTTTTGCTTTTTATGAGCACGATTACTAAATATTCTTCCACATCATTATTATACATCATTTTTAATGGTCACATTAGATCATGTTCTTAACCCAGATTTATTTAACCTGTTTCCACTTTTTTTATGGTGACAAATCTAGTGGGACGTTGTTTTGAAGTTCCTTTTGAGATGCCCTGGAGTGAACCAGGAGTTATAAAACAGTTGGTTTCCCATCTTCCCCAAGATGCAGGAGCTTATTCCCGGTCCTGAGAGCCAGAGCGGCTGAGGGGAACCTATGCGCTCTTGAAACATGTGTTAGCTACTATGAGTTGTCACCTCTGTGTCATGAGAAAAGCCAGCACTCTTATTTTTCCCAGTGAGGAAACAGTGGCCAAGTGGGTAAGATTTGACTGAAAATCAGTGTCATATTAGAGCACAGCCTCACCCATGCTTCTGCACCAGGCCCACAAAAGGCAGGGAGCTCCTGTGAGCCTGAAGAGGAATCCACAAACCTACATCTTTCGTGTCCACTGACAAATCACACACACATACATTCGTGCACTAACACCAATGCACACTCTCAGGCAGACTCTCAGCCATACACCCAAATGCACACTTACACACTTACACAAACTTCCAGGACAGCACACAGCCAGAGCTCCAACTCTGTGGGTCTATCCCAGTTGAATGGCAGGAACGGCCCTGGGTCACCTGTGAGGCGCCATTGAGCCCGAGTGCCCTGTGGGCTCACCTCAACTCTGGATGAACTGGATCCCATGCAGGCGCACCAAAAAGACCTCTCATCAGTGGGCCTGTAGTTGGTGCTGCTCCTGAGCCTCTAGGAGCTGAGTTGGGAGGCAGGGGAGGCCATCAGCCCAGGGAGCCGGCTCGCCTCACCCTCCCCTTCCCCATCCGTACTTTTTCACGGGGGCCTCTGATCAATAACAGCTTTACAGTGGATACACTTCCTTCTTGTGTTCATTCATTCATAGATGTTGAACAAAAGAGCCCTTTCCCTCACTGCATTTCTAACAGTAATGATCAGTATTAATATTTGTGAATTGTCAGTGTCATTTTTTTCAACTAACTTTTCTCTGCAGTGTGGGATGAGTTGGGGTCAAAGACCCTTTCTGAGGCTGCTTTTAGGTACACACTCTCAAGGTTAGGCTGGGGGCTCACAATAACATCTTAACACGTAACTAGTAGTTTTAACATGGAACTCCAGTCCCGCTTCTTCTGCCTTGACAAGAACAGGGTGTTGCATGAGTTCTCTCTGCTCAGGGGGCAGCTGCTGTGGCCAGGAGGGAGTCCAGATCTGTAGACTCCCTGTCTTTGCTTTATGTTGCTGCTTTTATTGCACATGATTCATGCCTCATCTTGGGAAGGTCAGAATTAGTGGTGCAGCCCTGAATGGTGTGGCTCAGTGGATTAAGTACCAGCCTGCAAACCAAAAGGTTGCCTGTTCAATTCCCAGTCAGGGCACATGCCTGGGTTGCAGGCCAGGTCCCCAGCAGGAGGTGCTTCAGAAGCGTCTACACATTAATGTTTCTCTCCTTCTCTTTCTCCCTCCCTTCCTCTCTCTCTAAAAATAAATTTTAAAAATCTCTTAAAAGATTTTTAAAAAATTAGTGGGGTAAAGCCTTCACCTGCAGGACCCACAGCTCGAGGGGCTTCCCCTCGGAGTCAGGGGTCCTGACCCCTGGGGCAGTAGTGCCCTGAGAGCGGGGCACACACTCAGCCTCGAGATGTACCCTCATGAGTCATCAGTACAGAGGACTTAAGACACAGCAGTGTCTGTGTAAAAGAGGGTCAGAGCAGGAAGGGGCAGGTGGGCCACCCTGTGGAGCATGGGATGGAGGGAGAGGTTTCACTGAGTGTTTGTAAACATTTTTGTCTAGCTGAGGTATCAGTTAAGATGCAAGTAAAACCCAGCTAGAATGGGCTACACAAGGACACACAACGAGAACCCCCAAGGCGGGAAGGGCTCATTTTTGCTGATCACAACTGAACTTCTCAGTTTCCACAAGGCCTGACATAGTTTCCTGCATCCACATCCAGCAGAAGAGCCCCACAGCCCCACAGGTCCCCCATCCCATCTGCCAGCCCTCAGTCCCCATGTTCCTCAGCCACCCATGCTGGGCGCGGGGAGACTTCAGTCATGGGAAGAGGAATAGAGGCCAGCCGTTTCCTACAGTGGCCACTACATAAAAACCCGAGACTCCTGAAGGAAAATCGTGACTTCCAGATCTTTTTGAACACGTGGAGACGTGACAATGAGGCCTGCATTTCTGCATTCCATGGCTCCATCTGGACAGGCCCTGCCAGTCCCTCTGGCATCTCACCCTGCAGTAGAAGGACGGATGTGCCCAGGGCTCCAGACGCTTTCAGAGGCAGCCACCTCCAAGTGTTGGGCAGCTCTAGGACAAGTCCTGGCACATGGCACCCCATAACTGCTGTGTCTTTGGTCTGCTTATACATTTGGCATCTTTCAGGTAGGAGCTGCCCCTGTGCCTGCCCCTGCCCTTCATCCTTCCATCTGCTCATCGGCTCACTGACCAGGAAGAGGTGCAGGATCGAGGGGCAGCCCTCAGGCATAGCCCCAGCATCCCCAGCCCTTTCAGGGACAAGACCCACCTGTGTGAGGTCTGGGGACATGCAGCCTGCTCTCCCCTATGAGGCTCTGGTGAGCACAGGGTCCAGGACCAGGTGGAGTGTGGTCTGGGGCACATCCACACAAGGGCCCACCCAGAGCCCACGCCCCACCCTAGTCCTTTCCCCACGAGCCGAGGTCAGCTGGCCCTAACTCCTCCCCGGTAGCTTGCTACCCACCTACACAGACTCTACTGATCCTGGCATCACCCTGTCAACTGCCAGATCATCGCTCCCATTGGGCTGGGAGCCGTC